ATGGAGGAGGACATGGATGGTGGATGGAGGACATGGGGGATGGAGGATGGGAGTGGACATGGAGAGACAGGACAGGGAGATGGGTGATGGAGGACATGGGGATGAGTGATGGAGGACATGGAGGGAGTGGGATGGAGGACATGGGGGAGGATGGAGGATGGAGGACATGGATGGGATGGAGTGGATGGAGGACATGGAGAGACATGGGAGAGGACATGGATGGTGGACATGGAGTGGTGATGGTGGACATGGAGATGGAGGACACATGGGGATGGGTGAAGGACATGGAGAGGAGGACATGGGGAGGATGGAGGACATGGGGAGGCACATGGAGGATGGGTGATGGAGGACATGGGGATGAGACAGAGGAGACATGATGGAGGACATGGATGGACATGGACATGGAGACAGAGGAGACAGAGGACATGGAGATGGGTGATACAGGAGATAGATGAGAAGATATGCCTGACTGGCAGGCAAGCAAGCACGGAGACCTGTATGAGTAATTTGGATGAATGCTGGCTTGATCAATGTTTAATCACATTGTGATGAGGTCATCCCAGTCTTTGTTGAAGGGGAAGCTGTTCATGCTGCTGTGGGATCTGATGTATTTCTGAAAGAGTTTCCCTTGTGATGGACACTTTAAACATTTACCCTTCATGAGATGTATGTCTGAAAATGGCAACAACAAGTGTTTTTATAGCAATAACCATGAATAAGTTCTATCTCCGGGAAATCTTGTTGAACAGAAACGGCTGCTAATATACACTGAAGTAAGAAAGTAAACAGGGAAGAAAAAAATATTCTCATTACTTCTGGCTTTGTTAAATGTCGTGACATTCACATAATACCCTTCCCCATACCTGAACAAACACCTTTCAACAGTTGGAGGTTAATTAAACTGGCCTGTTTACCATGGATCTCTCACAAGAAAAGTTGTCTTTGTAATCATCAGTGTAATTGTGATGAGTCATCAAAAAGTGATTCAACATGTTCAAAAGTTTCAAAAAAGCGATTCTTGATTCTCTGTATATGGATTTATCTAGACCTGTGAATGACATGATACTTTGTCCCTCATTTGCAGGATTAATGTTGACAGAAATTCCCGAATTTTAAGATATTGTCCCAGTCAGGTAGATACAGGAATAGTTAATGAAATGAATTATATTTCATTAAAAAACAGGAGCAATAAAAAAGGAAGGGGCTTAAATTCTCAGCTTTATTGAGTTTTAATATATAAGAACTGTAATGTTTTCGCCCAGTTTGCTTGTAACATAGTTAGCAATCCTTGATAAATCCCTGCCTTATCAGTTGTTTTTTTCTGACGTATATATTCTTTTAAAAAAATATTGACCATTTTCAAAGGATTTTGATCGTGTACTTACTCAATTCTCATAACTCAAGCTACGTGGCATGTTTATGTTGGAAAAGGTCCTGTACACTTGTTAATACCACTTGTCACAAGCCATCTTACATAATGCATCATGTTACAAGAGATTGTAAAATTAACCAGGGCGTGGCAGAAACTCAAGCCTGTATGTTTGTTTTCTTGGTTATATAACCCCACCAATGACAGATATGTTTCAAGTAGATATCGAGTGCTTCAGCTGTTATGCAGGATGACATCACATACCTACGTGGTATACAGAGTGGCTTACAGGGAACAGGACATATTAAAGGGAGATAGTTGGGACTGCATGTTTTTGTTGGGGATTTTTTTGGGGGGAGAGATGGGGTATTTTTGTCACTAAGTCGCTTGTTGTTAAAGAGGCTCTTTTCGGCATTTTATAGTGCCCTACTCAGGTTGTTTTGTGCCATGTGTTATAGACTAGAGATTCCTAAGTACTATGGCTAAAAAATTGTTTTATAACCTGTAGAATCTGTACTTTCATGAAAAGGTGAGTGAGTGAGTTGGGTTTTGTACCGCTTTTAAGCAATATTCCAGCAAAATCACGAGGAGGACACCAGGAATGGGCTTCACACATTCTACCCATGTGGGGAATCGAACCCGGGTCTTCAGCGTGACGAGTGAACGCTTTAACCGCTTGGCTACCCCATCGCTCCTTCATGACTTCAAAGGCTATGATATTAATATCTGGCATAAGCTAATGGGCGAGTAAACATTGTCCTTCACACTGTGATTCACTGGTTTGTCCGGTCCTTTAACTTTGGTTTAAGACATCTTCCCACCCACTGCTGTAGCGACACTTCAGCGAGGAATGCAGTGTCTTGTATTTGGATAATTTATGGTATGTACAGGCCTGGTTAGGATTCTATAAACAAATCAAGGAGATATTCAAACATTTTAGTATCGAGGTCAGCTTCATTTGAGACCCTGAATCTCTTCCATAAAGCAATCATGGTGTTAAGATGATAATAAAATATCCATATAATGATATGTAAGGCTTATCCCCCCTCAGGAATATGGTTTGGTGTTGCCTGTTAGCTCAGGTAAACATCCACTGTGGAAGCCACGTTCCTCACGGGTTAAGCTTACAACATATTTACTTCCAAGTTGTTCATTGACCAAGATATAAAACAAATAAAATGGGACGTTTGTTACATATTCCCTAGGGCTGGGACAATTCGCCGATGCATCGATGCATCGCGATACATTTAAGTTTGATACAGTTATCGTATCGTGGACTGGTAAATCGATACAAAACGATACACAACTTTTTTTCAAAACAGTATTATCTTAAACATGTTACAGTTCTTATTTAGAGAAAAATGCGCAAGTATGATAGAGTTACTTGTTTGTTTATTCCAATAGTGTTATTGTTAAACACAAATACATTGAAATAAATCATTTTAGATCTTGATACCGTGTCATTCTTTCAAGGTGTATGTATCGTGATACATATCGTATTGCAGGTAAAATATCGCGATATGTATCGTATTGTGACATAGTGTATCGTCCCAGCCCTAAGATTCCCCTGCTCATTATCTCTCATTTCTGGTGTCCCCCACCGTGATATTGTTGGAATGTTGCTAACAGCGGCATAAAACTAAACTCACTCACTCACTCTCTTGCCTGTGTGTACACTCACTCACACACAGACAGACAGATACTAATGATACGTGAGAATTATGTGTTCATCTTTTCTTTTTTTGTGTGTAACATTTCTGCCAGGGATTTTCAGGGGAAAAAATGAAATACAAATTAAAAAAAATGCGTTTCCCCTTAGAGTTCCTTCCATTAACCCTGATATTGTCAAAACTTAAGTTCCTAGGTTTATAATACATTCTAGCAGCAAATCTCAATGACCTCCTAATCCCGCAAAAACACTGTACTAGTTATGAATCTGTATCCAGCTAATTCAGGAAACAGTATTGCGCTCATACACATTGATGACTGCCCTACTTTCATTCCTGTGAACATCTGAAGGCTGTGGTAGGTTAGAGGTGTCTTATATAGTGACAAGGACATAACGTGACCATCGCTTGCTGGGATGCAACACAGGAAACTGTCTTTCCGTTTTGCCAAGTAAGCATGATTTGCGAAGGTTCAGGAAGCTGCGTCATCTGATGGTGTGGTATAAACCCCTCTTGTCACTAATTCCATCAATTCAGTCTAACGAGATAATTGTGCCTATAGTTGTAAATGTATATAGATTCATGCAAGACAATGATGGCGTTTACTCCCTTAGACATGGTAAATATGGTGATCTTTTACTTCTTTGTCTTCATGGTGTGGGTAATTGGAAATAATAGGTATGTTTATAGTAGTGTACAGTTTACTTACCTAATGTTTGTTTTGATGCTTCCAGGGGTGTGGGGTAGCCCAGTGGTTAAAGCGTTCCCTCGTCAAGCACCCGGGTTCCACTGTCCACTTGGGTACAATGTGTGAAGCCCATTTCTGGTGTCTCTCGCTGTGATATTGCTGGAATATTGCAAAAAAAAATGGCGTAAAACTAAACTCACTCACTCACTCATTTGATACTTCCATGGCCTAGAGGATATAATTGAACTGGTTTGATGCCTGACCAGGTCTTGCCATATAACTTTTAAGGATGGTACCTGTTGTTTCCCTGCCTAGCACTAAGCATTAAGAGGATATTATTTAAAATGAACATGTCAGCTTGAGGTCAGTTTACTGTGTCACCGTTTCCCCATTTCAACTATCCTGATCTGTTTTGTACTACTACTACCACGACTTATAATAATAATGGATTTCTGTGGCGCCTGGAATCCAACTCAAAGCTGTTCAATGGCGCATCACAACTTGAAAAATCTATTTATTGAGAGTTTCATAAAGGCCCCCCAAAATATTTCTATCTTATGATTCAATTTAATTAGAAATATGTTGAAAAATTGTTGACCTCCAATGTAGCCAGTTTTTAAGAATTATTTATGGAAGCAGAGATTATTGACTGTTATTGAACCATAAATACTAAATCATGATAAATTATTACCTGCTGCTTTACAGCTGAGCAGCCTTGTGCTAAAACTCCTACAACATCTGCATGCTTAGACGTCGGATATCGTGACATGTATCAATAGTGGTTAGCTGTGTGGTTTATATAGGAGAAGATGTTTACAAGTGTTTTTTTATGAGTGATAGTTTGGTTTAGCTTTTCCTTGAACGTTATTCTAGTTATATCAGGTTGTGTCAGTTTTATATGATAGGAAAGCCCCAGGTGATTGAGGTCTCCAGTGTTAACCACCTGGGTGAAATCTATGTGCGTGGGTAGGGGGCTTGTTAACCTGGAACCGTAAACAGGGCAGACAGTGATGTGAACCCTCAGCATGGGTTTCTATAGGACACAATGTTATTTATGTCTGAGAGTAGTGTTATGAACTGGGATATTTTGAAAACAATATTGTGGCTCATGAAAAACGTTTTTCTGGGATTTTACACTGCATTAGTGCATTTTGAATCTTTCTTCTGTTCCTTGTGGTAGGTCCATAGATAAGTCTGTTGAAAGTAATTTTCATAAATAACCCTGACTCTATTTACTTGCTTACTTCTACTGTAGACATGTTTGTTTCTGTTTCAGATATTTTTATCCCAGATAAAATCCGAAGAGCAGGCCTCTGCTGCAGCCAACCGCTTGAGTGACGATGAGCTTGTTGGACTGTCTGTGAAGGAGCTGAATCGGTTGCTGAAGGGGCTCAGCAGGGATGATGTGGTGAAGCTGAAGCAGCGTCGTCGCACGCTCAAGAATCGGGGGTATGCCGCCAACTGCCGCGTGAAACGCATCTCCCAGAAGGAGGAGCTGGAAACAGAGAAGGAGGGCCTGAAAGCTGAGGTCGATCGGCTGCAGCGGGAGAATGACGTTGTCAAAATGGAACTGACTGCTCTCCGGTCGAAATACGATGCTCTGTCAAACTTTGCGGACCACCATCGCATCAAGGTTCTGCCCCATCCAATCGTTGTGACCACTTCTTCCAACGAGACAATCATGGTGAAGGCGGAACCGATCCAAGGGCTACGGCCCTGTTCAGCATCATAGCAGGCGTCTGGTAGATTCTATGGCTTCCCACTGCAGCGAGAGCCACCTAGCTGATGAGACTCGTAACACTGCATAGTATGAACACTTGCATCTCTATGTTCAGGATGCCACTGTCGTCAGAGATGGTCGTCTATGCTGCTTGCCATCTAGTAATGAGGATGTAATCCTTTTGCAGAGCGAAAGAAATTCCCGATTGCCTTAAAGAGACTTGTTGACAGATTGTCAAACGAATATTGTAAATACGCTATGATAAGATATTTTGTCAGTGTATATGCATTCATATCTTCATTCAAAGTTGATTGGGACTTTGAAATCTGTTTTGTTCAAGCATAGTACTTTTACATTGGTTGTCATTCCATATCTTTACAGATCATTTCATTCAGATGCGATTTTTTTGAGTTGCATAGCTCTGCACACTGACTATATTTGCAGATTTTAGAAGTATCATTTTGATTTATCATATTTTCATCGTATAAAGGTCCCAATAGTGTTATCCATTCTTCAACCAAGTCTGAAGCCTTGCGATGCAACTTTAGTATTCATAAGTTCTCATCGAAACATCACATTCTCAAGCAATTTTATCAAAATTGGCCAAGTATTACTAGACTTACTCATTCCCATCGAAGTTCATAATTAGACTTAATTTATTGCAACATGATTCAAAAACGTTCCTACATTGGAAGAACCAATGCATTTTGTTGATGTTGGTTTAATATTATGTGTGGAATTAGTATGTGATCAATACCACATATCTTTTCTACATGATGACTGAAAAGTGCTACACAGAACCTGGTAAAAATATGCATAATCAAATTTATTTATGATGGATCATGCAGAACCAAGAGATACCCCTTTGAAAGTTCTTTCAGATTTGTATGTTTTTGTTTAGAAGATAAATTAGAAGGGTATAAACATCAACATCTTCATCTTCATCATCAAGAATGAAACGTTTCCCATTTTGTGTAGCCAATAATTCAATGAATTGAAAAGCAATCATTTTGATATTAATTTTTGTGACACTTTTCATTGTATATTGCTCATTATTGCTTCAATCAAAAGGTCGAAGTACGACGGAAGCCCATGTAAAATGGACCGAAAAATAATATGTACAGGAGTAGTTTGAGGAGGGATGAACTATTGAGTGAACAAGACACTCTGTGTTGTTGAGAAATGTTGTGGTTTTTTAGACCATGTATGACACGCTCACTGTAATATGTGCCCCTTGAGTTTCATTGTGTTAAGTCATCTCGATCCCCTAGGGATTCCAAAGTTCATTAGGAACACAAGATGAAGCTGCTTCTCTTGAAGCAGTGTATTCTGACATGTATCATGACTTCATATAAGTCAGTCTGATATTCACTTTCCTTGATGTGTAATTTTCTTATTTTGCAAATTGATACCCTTTCAAGAAAGAAATGTTTCACTGAGAAAGTAAACAAGTGCTTGTTGTCAAAATGCTGTGTACAGACTCAGCTGCTTCTGTGGGTTGGTTACAGCATGGCCTTCAATAACAAAGGCCATGTCTACTCAATGCATGGACAGCAGAAATGGTTAAGTACACGCAACCTTCACCTAGGAAACTGAATTTTGCGAACTTGAATGCCAGTCTCTGGCTCCCCCCTAAGACATGCCCACTCCTTCAGTTGTGACTTACATTTATAGACCACCACCCCTGTAAGGCTTTGTTACACCCTATGTTTGCTACACACACAGTTAACAGTCATGGTATGTCTCCAGAAAGAAATAAGAAACGTTTTAGAAGCCGATTTTGTTCATTAGGCAAAATGATGTTTGGAATATGTTAGCTTTGCATGGCCTTGAAAGTGCCTTGTCCTCTCCATCCAGACTGTAACAGTCTGTAACGGTCGTGGGGCACCTATTGCATGAGTGTGGAGGATTGTTGTACTAACTTACAGTTGTGAAACAAAGAATATATTACTTAACTCAATCACACACAGATACTTAAGCCAGAAACTCAAACATGTTGGTCCACCACCTTGTTCCAAAGAGATTCAGGACTACTTTTGAAGTTGAATGAGTTGATCACTTTCAGCACTGAGCTGATGTGCTGGTGGTGATGTAAGCGTGTAACAATTGGAGTGATTAGACCAGCGTGTTTCATCATGCAGTAACCCACCAGATGTATCGGTGTCCTCGTTAGCACCTTCTTACTAAAACATCAGTTCAACCATCGTTGTGATGACAGACACAACAGATCACTAGACACGGAATCTCTTGCTCAGTATGCTTGGATGCTGTGAAGTTGGATGCCAAAATGATATAACTCCATCCGATTCCTGTTTATGTATCAGACAATTTTTGTAAAAACAGTTTGATATTTACACTGAAAATGTTTGGTTTTGAAGATTGAATTGTTTTACAACCAAGAACGAAATGTTATGTTCTAAGCAAATATGGCTGATATTATTTTTCTGTCAATGATTGTTTGAAGAATACCCAGCATGATTTGAATCAGTTCAGCAATAGGACTGCTGTGTGAAAGGGAGCAACCATTTGATCTTCTGGGGAGGAAGTACAGATTTTGTAAATTGGTGCCATATTCTATTCTGTATTTTGTAAAATCAATTGAGAATTCATTTTTGTGGGATTATATTGTTTGATCTGTCTAAATTTCATGTACTTTATTTTATTCCTTCGAGCTTAACTTAATAATTGAATATATTCTGAGAAATTTCAACCTCACCCCCCACTCAAAGAGATTAAATGGTAGGTCCCTAGTATGTGAAGTAATATGATTGGTTGACAGTGTCAACCTTTTTTAATTCACATGGGCACTTCTTGTAATAATGTAATATGTATAAACCTTGAAATGGGCACAGTGTATATTTTCATTTTGTTTCTGTTGAGGAATGGCTTTGTGTTTTGGAAGAGTGGTTTGTCAATGAGTCTTGAGACATCCCTTTCTGTATTTTCATGCAAATCCCGATTCAGACATACATACTTATGTCGTTCTGACTTGTGTATTTTAAACTAATGTATTTTGAACCTATCTTAGGTTGATATTTTTTTAATCATTTTTAGAGGGCATAGTGTGCAGTTTATGTTTCAGAATAAGAGCATTCCAGTTTGTCTACTTGTTTTACTGATGTTTAAATCTCCAATCGGAACATGTTGTGTTGCCAACAGTGAATTTTGTCAGCTGTGTGATCAATGGCTGCCGTACCTTTAATGTAATGTTTCCACCTTCTTTAGCTTCAAGAATAAAATGGATTTACAGAATAAGAAAACAAAATTGGCCAGTGATGGTGGTATGGTTGGAAAAACATCTCACCTGTCAACAACAGGGAAGCAAACAAGTAAAAGTTAATTAGTTTAAGTTTTGGTTTTCCCCCCAGGTTATCTTTGATTGAGTGTGTCGGAGAAAAATGTCAAAACATTATTGTAGTATTATGAATTTAATATTAACTGGCAATTTTATTACAGTTTGTTAAAATAGTGAAAGGGGACATGCTGATTTGTAAAACAAGGACTTATACTGGTCTGCTCTTGTGACGTAATAAAAAACATTGACACATGTTCTCAAAGTGTGCCGATGGTTAATGAATTATAGATAGGTAATGTATGTTAAGTGTATATGATATCAGGTTTAGATACTTAAGGATTGTTCACCGTGTTATCAGGTAGGTTGACAAAGTGTTACACGTGCCAGTAGCAGGGTGTTTGGGGTTCAATAAGCTAGGCTAACATTGTGGGATGTTCACAAGTGATAAACTCATTAAGCCTAGGACAACCTGCTACTGACACATGTAACAAATGTATAATTATGATTTCACAATTTACAAATAGTTATTTAGAATTAAATATTTGGGAGCCTGCCATTGGGCTCCCTATGTGGTAAGTTGAAGTGCGAACAGTTGCAGGTTGGATGTAACCAGCAGGTTACTTACGTGAATCATTAACACATCATAGTATTCACACAGACCGGCCAGCTGACTTGTGTACATTTTCATGAGATATCAACGGTCTTGTGAGATTGATACATTCTTTAGGAAATACGATATTTCATATTTTGAGAACATTTTGTTCCAAGCAAGTACTATGTGCCTTGTATATGCTGGTTTAGTGAAAATAAGGAAAAGACTGTTTCCAAGGTTAAGTTGACAGACTTTATGCATGTGTGTTAGCCATGTTATTTGTTCTGGGACTGCAGTGCTATAGGGGTAGGGTTATCAATGGATTAAGCAGAGTCAGCACAGTGTGTGATGTTGGTCTTACCTTGGGGTAGGGGTCACATGCACAGGGCGTGATGTTGGTCTTACCAGTATGGGGTAGGGGTGAGATGCACAGAGGGTGTTTTGGGGGGGGCGGTAGGTGCACATTCAGCACAGAGTGTGTGTGATGTGTGTTTTACCTAGGGTAGGGCTGAGGCAAGAATGAGGTACTTAGAGAGCATACCAGGGTCTGTTTGGTGTGTGACCCTATATTGGGCAGGTGCTTGACTAGCTGATTCACAGTGTGGTTTAGAGAAGCTTGTGTTAGATGAGACCTGGGTGCACATGCCTTCTCTATAGGGGTGGGGCAGGAATGTGTGTGATCTATTAGGGAGGGGGTACCAGTTATTATCCTGCACCATGTAGGATTCATTCAGGGTAATGCTGAAGAGATTCAACACTGAATGTATCCTGTGTGAAAGAATTGACACCTTTGGGAAACCAGTTTCTATTGGGAAATGCTAAAGCTTAATTTGCCAAAATGTTAAATCTTGAGATAAGTTTTTGTGATGAAAGTTGTAGTCACTGTCATGTGTATAGTGTTCAAGGCTAGGGTTGAGAGGCTTGGTGGAGGTGAGGAATGAGCTCCGAGTATGACGTATCGCTTCTACCCAGGGAAAATGAGGCAGGGAGTGGACTTTCATTTCAATGGATCAAGATTACACTGGCTTTCAACAAAATTGTAACTAGTGACAATCTTTGTCAGATATGATCGTGTATAAATACCAGTTATCAAAACCAGGCGGGAATATTCTGTCATGGTTTCTAGACTGTTGGAGGTCATTAAAAAGTGAAGAAATATATGAATATTCAAATCAAAAAGGTAATGTTTTGGCTGTCTATTTGAGTCATATTGTAGGTTTGAAGTGAATTGTCAATTGCCAGTTTTCTTGTTCAGCAGTATGTAGCTATTCCTAGGGTGCAGCCTGTATGCTTTGTTGGTTGTATAGAAAGTATTCTGATTTATTTATTTGTGTGCATTGCGGGTAAAGCTTGAGACGTTCTCAGTCTGCATAAAGTCAAAACGTTCAATAAAATATCATGTTTACCCAAAGGCAGCTCAGTGTATGTGGAATGATTGCAAAGGGTGAGCTATGATTGTTGCCATTGTTCGTCTTTCTTGTGTGTATTTTTTTTTTTTTTAAATTTGTGAATTTATTGCCGTGGATTAGTGTCAAAATTATTTATTGGTCATTTCAAGATTTGGAACATTTTGCATCATTTTCAGTATATCACCCCATCCACCTTCCATCGAAATCATATTCCATTGTGAGTGAGTAACCCTCAAAGAAGGTTCTCGGTTGATCACCAGACCAGACAAATGTAAATATCGTAGAGGAATATTTATGATATCTCGCAAGAGAGTTTGAATGTTTATGTTTGAAGCATTCCACAGAAGGCTACCTGAGAGGTGGACACACTATTTTTCATCATGTTTTCATATATATTTTTATTGTGTACCTGTACAAGTACATGCATGATTGAGACACGTGGGAGTCCGGCAGTGTTGTGTGGGCAATGGCAGGTTTTCTACTAAGTATAATGAGCTGCTGGCTGTGTTGACTCGAAGCATTTCTGGGTTGGCACTGCAGTTTGGTTGTATATATCAAATGATTACATGCTATCTTAGTACCAGACACAGGACAACGGGCTCGGCACATAGCAACTCTGGGAGGCTTCACAGGGAAATAGGAGCATCGCTTATGACTTTTCACAGTATATGATTTGATCTTCAAGTTTTGAATATCTTACCAAACAAATAGCGTATTCAATGCTTATATATTGATTTTCTGGACCTAAATTTCATTTAAAGGTTAATATTTGATATATTTTGTAACATGCATTGAGAATTTAAAAAATTGAGAAATGTTTTGTTTTTCCAAATTTATAACCTCTGAGTAATTTGTGAAGTCTCTCATTGGATTAGTTAAATGTAGTTTAGATCCATTTGTCACAAGAACATACCCACCAACTAACCAACCATTGTATCATGTAGACACCGGGCTATTGCATCATGTTGGGGGAGTGTTTCAGTATGGCTGGTTCCACGATGACATTCATGTCTCCCACTTCATCGGGTAGCAGAGCTTCGTTAGGTCAGTCTGGTACTAAAGTGGCAACAGTGTTTTATGGCCCTTGGAAATCAGCATATATTTGACTTCTTTTGTTTGACATTACCAGGGCTTACTTGGTTTGATGTCATCTCATCAATGTATTTGCCAAAACTGGGTGACACTAACTGTCACATCTTAAACATTTTATGTTGTTTGACAAATCCAGGCTGCTCAAAGAGGCATTATATTTTGGGATGAATTGTCAATTAGGAAAATGGGAAAAAGCTGTGTTATAAGTTAAGTGTTAATAACTATATGTTAAGATGATAAAAAAGTATCGACTGTACTTGATATGCTCACAAGCAGTCTGGATTTCTAGGCTTCAATTTCAACCTGCATAAAAGAACACTTTGGTTTCATGTGGAAGACTCAACAAATCACGGTTTATATGTTTCTTAAGCTGATGCTCTGAGTACAAAAAATATTTGTATGACTAGTTACTAAGTCTCCCAGAACTCTTTCACTAAAACCAGGGTGTTCATACATTAGCACCCGAAGTCAACTTCCTATATTAACTGTAGGCCTAAAGATGCACCAACATTTTGCCATATGGTTCTTGAAAATTTAGGGTTGACATGTTTCAAACTAATAAAGTTAAACTATTTCTTCAAATTTAATTTAAAATTAAAACTGAATGGTGAAACCATTTTTAGTGTAGAGGTATTTGATGCTGGTGAGTCTGTGAACCCTGTCATCTTTATCTGTTCCAATACACCTGACACCCCATTGAATGGGTCAGAAGGATGAAAGGCCAGTTAACACCACGAAAAATTATTCAAGAATGGATTACGTCTTTCTTCACAAATAAAAAATAGTTCAGTTTTTACATGGGAAATGTTGGCATCTCTAGGCCTGGTCTGTTCGCTTTAGCCAGTGTCTGTATAACCAAGTACTTCCAATACGGAGGTTGCTATCAAATGTAATCAGACCATATTTAACGTGTGTCTTTTTTGTAAAATTGTGTTTGTACTTCATCATATGGGTTTGTCTTTTCTACGGAGCAACTGATAGTTGTCACAGTGCTATTTATTGTCGGATGGGCAGCATTATTTGGTTGAGATGAAGCCATGTTTATCCTGATGAAATGATCGAAGGGATCTTTTCGTCAATCTTTGTTCAGTAATAGAGATGCGGTCCGAGTTCTTTGACCTTGAAAATTTTATAATACTGACACTTTATTTACATTATTTGCATATACTCTGCAATGATTTTTTAAAGTAAATAATGTATTTATATATTTTATTCATGTTATCATTTTGGGAGAAAAACTGAAATGGCGTAATAAGAGAACATTCTTTTCCAATTGAATGGACGTGCATCGAATGTTTATAAATATATTTATGTATTTATCTTTTTGTTAATGTGTGGATAAACATGGTTTCAATACATCAGTGGTTATTGATGTGCATGTTTGAAATGGATCTTTGTGTACAGAGGACAACTCTGACTGGTTTAAACCCAATTACTGGAAAGTTTCAAATGAAAATATTCAGCATTTACCTCATATTTTTATTAAGTGAAGGTACAGATTTGAAAAACATAATAATTTCTGTATTAAATTACGGCTTGTTGTATTATTGAAATATTCTTCAGATCAGGTAGTTCCAAAATGGAACTGTTAATTTCAAAACTGAAAATGTTCCGTTTAGAAGTAAATGTTTAGTAATTGGGAATATCAGTTGCTTTAAAGACAACTTGTCATTGTTGATATCATCTGAGTTTGTATTTATTTTACACCTATTCCTTTAAAACATTATTTAAATTTTAATACCATGAAAACAAAACATTTGACATCTGTTTTGGTTATGTGAACCATTGTTACCAATTTTATTAAATTTCAAAAATTTGATATTAGGGTTAAATGAATTGTGAGAGGTCTCTATTTGCTATTTGAAGTTCACATTTTAGGCATGTTAATAGGTCTAAAGTAAATATTTGTAAATGTTTCATTGGTGTTCTCAGAATAAAAGAAATAAAATTAAAACTTGCTATGTTGTCAGATTTTCTTCTCAAGGAAGATTACAGCATTGAGAATACTTAAAGGGCTGGGTATGCACATTTTGGCAGATCTGAGGGTTTGCTTTGCTGTATCCAAACGAACAAAATGAGCCATTTAGAGCTCAATTCCTGCTGTCTTCCCAACATGTGGTACTGTTGCATTATCTTCAAGAACCCAGCAACCAGTGCTGGAAGTGAAAAGCAACAACATGCTTATTCACTTGGTTGATTGCTGCCATGTTGATGAAATATTTGTCATGCACTGTTGCTCATGTATGACACTTGCTTATGGCTGGAACATTGCCAAGTGCTTCATTTATCAAGCAATTGAACATTACATAACAGAAAATGAACATGAACAAACAACAAACAAACATGAATCAGAACCAAGTAACAGTTGAGCCCATCTTTCATGTGTTGACTGATCACTGCTTCCACATCAACAACACTGGGTAATACGAGGAATACCACTTCCGAACTAGGGGTTTGTGAAAAGGTGAGCACATCCTGCACACACACACACACACACACACACACACACACACACACACACACACACACACACACACACACACACACACACACACACACACACACACACACACACACACACACAGACAGTCAGACCAATCACATTTACAAATAGTACAACGAAATCAGCTGCCTGATACAAAATAAATTATCATGACAGATGATCAGGAGGCAGGACTCAGAAGCTCTCAAACATTTTGTCATGCCCAGTTCATTGTACTCAGCTCTCTTATGAGAAATGCTTACTGAATACGAGATGCATGGAGATTTGTCAACTATCGATGAAAAGTGTATCAACTACAGAAGTATACATTGTACAACCCTTTTTTTTAATTTGAGCTATGTGTGAACTACAGAAGAATACAGCCATTCTTTTAGTTGAACTGTATGTGTCTTGCTGCAGAAACATACAACACATTGTCAAAAAGTTTGTACAGATTGTTGGCGAGAATGATAGCATGCCGATTTAAAGAGGGCTCCACCCTGATCCTGTGTGGAAAAACACTCTGAGAACATGACATTCCTCAGTGGTGGGTGTGCATGCCTGTGTCTCTACTGACCAAAGACAGCTCTATCAAGAATAATTTATTATAACATCTGCTGGTTTGGTGTCATTTTTACATTTTATACAAATGTATATAACTTTCCAGCACTTGCCCTGGAGCACCATGTCATTAAGGAATGTAGGGAGTATCTACTACAAGATAATATATTTTACATGTACATCGATATACTTATACAGATATACATGCATATCGATCTAGAATCTGGGGCTTGTCGGGGATTAACTATTTGGGGGTCACACACTATCCGAACTCGATTTACTGCGTCTGCATTATGCTATTCTTAGAGCTGACACTTAAAAATTCCTTAGCGCTGCCGTCAGGTGGCGCTCTTGCCTGTGGTACATTCCAATCGTCACAACTCGCATCTTTCCGTAAGAGCTTTCACGTGATGGTTACGGAAAGGCGCGAGTGGTGACGAATGTCGTGGCCAACCAGTTACGGAAGGGGGCGAGTGGTGACGAAGGTTATGGAGAGAGGTGATAAATAGACAAACTCGTACCAGTCATCAAGATCCGGGACAAGGCTCGAAAAGACATAGTGGTAATGAATGTCATTCGGCTGGACCTGCAGGAAATTTCGATGGCTCCCTTTCGGTTTGTTCCGGAAAGTTACGGAAAGGGGCGAGTGGTGACGAATGGAAGTAGTTTTGAGACGTGAACCTGGTTCCCGGCTTCATTTCCGCGTCGTCAATTTGCGCCAAACGCATGCAACAAATACCTTGGACCTCTCAAAATAGAAAAAGCATAACAGTGTAAAATCTCAATTTTACTGTGTTTACATTTCAAACAAGTAGAGTTTTCTAAGGGCAACGTTCGTTCTCACACCTAACCTATTGTTTTTATTGTATTTGGACATTTTGTATGGAACAATCAAAACAAATATTTATCATATATATTACTTGACGTTTGCCTCGGTGTTGGTGCATCGAGTCACAAGTTTTCTTGTTGCAAATCCATAGCTCGATCTACTGGAAACAGTTCGTCATATATATTAAGCAAATCATTAAATATCTTATGCAAACATACACTATAAAAATCCATTTTATGAGTTATTGCCGACTGTGTGCCAATGTTATCACACCTACCCACTAAAAAGAATACATAATACATGTGTGTCTTTTAATACGAAGGCGTTCACAACCACTGCATGTCTGTGACGGTCTCTGCGATGTGAGAGACGGGCCCCAGCTTACGAACAGTTGGAGAATGGAATTTTTACTGGGAACCTGACTAAATGAGTGAGTAAAGAGCTAACATTGCTGCGCCAAGCAACAACGGAACCAGTTTACGCTTTTTAGATGCGGTTATTTCCCCTGGATAGTAACTAGATGGCGCTTGTATAAAGGTTTCATCCTTCTTCGCTCTAGGTTATTTCCGTTCTATTCTTACATATAATGCTTAGACTGGGACCCAGTTGTGTTTACAATCGGAACATCGCTCATTCAGCAGTTGTATAGTTCTTCATCACGTCGTCGTTTAATTGCGGATTTGCACGACCTCTACCGAATGTTCTACTGCAGGAAATTATTGAGAAATTTGGCGCCATTTACTGATACATGAACATTTGAATATTATCGGTTTATAGAAGTTCACAAGCAACCCACAGTACGTAGTAATGTTGCAGCACCTACAGATGATTATTTCAAACCCCAAGTTGATTCTGAGTTATCATGGTTAATATGAGAGTGTAAGATGGGGTTAATATACACAAGCCCTGTAGACCTAGTTCCGAAACAAAATTTCAAAATGTCCAAAGTCTATGCGTGTTCGTACCCAGTCCATACCCGAATTTTTTAAGAGTGATGTCAAACGATAAAAGTCACTAATAACCACTATCTTGAAGTATGTATTGGTATCAGCTGGTTTCATGAAGAAAATATAGATAAAAAAACCAAAACACAAATCTGGGAAAAGTATGTAAATTGTAAACAAATAGTTGTATAGTCGGTGGAAAATGTACAGCAAAAACGATTATTCAGGCATAATCGTGTTTTCATCGAGTTGTTGATAAGCAAGCATTATTAGAGAAAGGTGAAAAAAAGTAATCAGATCATCAGTACAGTGTGATTCCTTTTATTAGGTGAATAGCAAACATGATCAGATGATCTACTGAAGTGAAAATTGTAATGGAAGAGCCGTTTCTTTTGATTTTGATGTTGTATTCACACATTGTTTATGTCTCTATCATTTGGATAACCTTTCTAAACAGGTTAGATTCTGGGAATATACTGCTGCTTATTTGTAGAAGCATGTATTTGTCCACTTGTGATTTCAGTTAAAAAATACCCATCCGAGCAACCTATCAGGGGTGGAAGTAACTGTAAAATTGCTGGTGTACTTCGGTACATTGGCACATGTAAAATCACTTGCCCTGATAATTTTTCCTCTATACCGGTCAATTTTTTTGTTGATTTTTTAAATAAGCAACATAATTAACATTGGAGGTGGGGTGAGGTGAAATTGGGTTTAACATTGTGCTTGAGAATATTTCGCTCATATGACGACGTGCATGCGTGTGTATGTGCGGCTGCTTGTACTAGCCCAGACTGAAGCTGGTTTTATAGTGCTAGCCCACTGAGATACCATATGCCGCAGTGAAGCATGAATATCCCACTCAGACACATTATACTGACTCCGAGCCAACCAGTCCTTGTTGTACCCATTAATGCCGAGCGCCAGGCAGGGACCAACAAGTACCATATTTTAACATCTTTTGGTATGACGCGGTAGGGGATCAAACCCGCGACCTTCCGCTCTCCGGGCGGACCCTCTAACCACTACACCACGGATGCAGTCAATTAACATTGGAAAGTCAACTGGACACCGGTACAGCATAATATATTGCTTGCCCAACAGAAAAAAACCACTGGACTGGGACGTCGGGCAATGGGTTATTTCCACCCCTGCCTATGCCTCATTGCTTGACCTTGAATCCCTGTTGTATGGCTTGATGCTCATGATGTCAATCACTTGATGGTTGATGTAGATTCAGTTCTTTAAGGATTACCTTCATACAGCTTCTGTAGGGCTCACTGCAGTGTTCCACCTAGTCCATCTGAAGCAAGATTGACAATATTTCATTTCTTCTGTATGTTTGTGAACCAGGATAACAAATAGTTAAAGAACATACCCTAGCCAAAATCAGAATACAGAAAAATGACTGATTCTGAGTCAATTCCACATTCCAGTGTTTTCTTGATTGGAACTGTCATACTGTTGACTTGTTTGAGTGGCATTTAGAAGTTGGTGTGATGAATGATGGGGAGAGTTCTATGGATATACAACTTCTTTAATATAATATGAGTGACGTTTGGTGTAGCTACTAATACCGTTATCAAGCATATTTTACTTGATAACGGTGTTAGCAGCTACACCGAAACGTTGCTCATGTTATATTGAAGAAGTTGTAATTCCATAGAACTCTCCTTGTTGTTTGTCATACTGTTTGTCATACATTTGATTGCATTATGTAAGAAACAAGCATTTATACATTGATGAAGCTTTCTCGGTGCACAGTATTACCTAGATCAGGTGAATAGGAACTTCAACATAAGGGGTTTCAATTTTGGGTTGAGAAATTATGGATGTATCTGCTGTTTAGGGTGAAGGGTTTCTGTATTTTGACTTTTGTTTAAGGTACAGTTCCGTTCACAGAAACTTACCTGGGGTACATCATCTAAAGTGTGTGGTCTGTTTGTGTAGGTATGGAGGAAGGTGTGTGTGGTTTCTGTCGGCGCAAGGATGCTGAAGACGTATGCGGGATGCTGCACTCTGAAATAACAGATGAAGGGTGGATTGTTGCTCATCACAGGTGCATGGTCAGTAGGCATACAATGTCTTGAATTATAACACTGTCATATATACTAGGGCTGGGACGATACATATGTCACGATATGATACATACTGCGATATTTTACCTGCGATGCGATACGTATCACGATACATACACCTTGAAAGAATGACATGGTATCAAGATCTAAAATGAATTATTTCAAGGTATTTGTGTTTAACAATAACACTATTGTAATAAACAAACAAGTAACTCCATCATACTTGCATATTTTTCTCTAAATAAGTACTGTAACATGTTTAAGATAATACTGTTTTGAAAAAAAGTTGTGTATCGATACACCAGTCCACGATACGATATCTGTATCAAACTTAAATGTATCGCCATGCATCGGTGAATCGTCTCAGCCCTAAAATATACTCTTTGAAACGAATAAGGGAACACATGAAAGTATAAGTGTTCCTTTATATATTTCCAGAATTTCACTCACAGTGTAATACGTACCTTGTGAAGAAACCTGGACAAGAATAAATTAACACTTGTACTTTCATGTGTTCCCTTATTCGTTTCTTTGAGTATATATGACCGTCAGTTACTGACAGTCAGTATACTTCATAAGTCTTAGGTATGAAATTTAATTAAATATTTACAAATTGTTGTGGGAGACATTTCCAGCTTTTTTCTTCTTTGTGAAATCCATTTGTTGACATTTTTGCTGTTCAATTATATTGTGTGAATTATATGGTGTGCTTTATGAGAACAAGTGTCTTGTTACCTGTGAATATCCGGGATAGAATTGATCTTCAGTAACCCATGCTTGTTGTAAAAGACAACTAACAGGATCGCTGGTCTCGCTGACTTGGTTTGCACACGTCATTGTATCCCAATTGCGTAGATCGATGCTCATGCTGTTGAACACTGGATTGTCTGGTCCAGACTCACTTATTTGCAGACCGCCGCCATATACTGATATAGATGGAATGTTGCTGAGAGCGGTGTTAAACAACAAACCAAACAAGTTAAATATCATTACTATGATTATTCAGAGCATTATCATTATAGAATGTAACTTGAATGGGATGTTTGTTTGTATTTTCAGCAATATTCCGCCCTTCTAACGCAGTATAAATTCAACCACTTTGGAGGCTTCAAGATTGACAAAGTTATGGATGAATACAGACGTGGGAAGCAGACAGTGAGTGTCTCCATGAACATAATGAATATTACAACCGCCATTACAATTTTTGTGGAGAAATCTTCTGATTATTTTCTGATTAAAAAAATTAAAAATACTCATGCTTATGTCAAGACTCAATAATCCATGATCAGAGAAAGTTTACAGTGGAAAAGTACATTATTCTGTATGTTTATATTATATAAATAATAAACATGGTGCATGGAACCTTGATGATGTCATGTTCTGCTTCCCCAGTAGGTCAGTGGACTGTTTGCCATGCATTCAGACCAGTTCAACTCCCGACGGGTTCAGACCGTTCACACTGTGGTACATGCTGTTTCTGTTGCAGAAATGTTTTGTTTGTGGGTGTGGCAAGGCCAGCAAGAAAAAGAAGAAGGGACCTCGAGGGGCCACAGCGGGATGTGCCGTTAGGTCTTGCAGACGTTCTTTCCATTACTACTGCGCCAAGAAGTCTCCCAACGTTGTCACAAAGAGGCTCGTTGTTCATATCAAGTCTAAAAGGGGAGAAAACTGTGCTCTACAGGTGAGGATCAAAGTTACTTTGATCAAGCCTTACCATTAGGCCTAAAAAAAAAAAAACTTGTTGTTCCGATTTTCCGACCGACCCTAAATATTCCCGCCGAGCCTAATTTATTTTCTGACACATGAGTAATGTAAAAACCAAAACCCCTACCTACCTACCCTAGTACTGAAATGTAGGAAATCGGAACCACAACATTTATTTTTTTTGGCCTTATCTACATTGTGTAAGTTTTCAAGCGTTAAACATTTTATGTCCTTAAGGATCAGTAAGGTGGCCCAATTGTCTGAGTCTGTGCTCATTTGTGAAGTCTGCTAGTTCAGTCATTAGTGATGTGAAATGTTAGAAGCCCTAATAGTCTTTGTATTTCTGTTTATAGTAATGTATACAAGACAAGGACAGGTTATATGATGATTGGTGTTGGGTTTAAATCCCAGATTCAGTGTCACAATGTGGGTAACATGACAGTAAGTCTTGTTGGATCTTTTTACCAGAGGTTCAGATAAGCTGCGTGTCTGCGTAAATTAAGCAAATATTTATGTGAAAACTCAATTCCTATTAAGTCTATTGTGTAAAAGTATGCTTGAAGTTTTGTAAATACTCAAAAAAGAATTGTCTTACATGCGTACATACCAAAATAGATGAAATAGCTAAGGTATATTGAGAGGTTCTATTTCAGCACATGAACTTGGCAACTTGCAGTCTTTCATTTCTCATATTACAGATGACATATAAATAACAAACATGAAAACAAAATTTTACACTGTATTATAGTAATGGAAAATAGCAAAATACCCAATTGAGTTTGAGTGAGGTGGGTACAATTTTTTTGGTTACTCAAAGGAAAATTAGGATGCCGAATTGAGATAAACACAAGCGAGTACATAACTCAATGACCCATAAAGTTACCTGTAGCTCTGTTTAAACATACTTTGTACTTATTCACAATAAAGTTCATTTACCATGCACAAACACACACAGGGACTATAGTAATAGTAACGGTTCTTGATGGAGTACATTTTTTGTATGTGATTTCAAAACTGTTAACATAAAACATATGCATCATTTACGTTCAAACATTTTACAAACAGTTCATTCCAATTAGCCATGATGAGATAATGCCCTGTTTTCAGTCAGAAACAACTGTTGCAGTTTCAAGTGGGTGTGAGTAAGAGGCCAAGAATGGGATCCAGTCGTTAGGATCCGTGATATGCTTGTTACAAACAAAATGTGAAATATGTCATATTCAGATCTCTTTGTTTAAATATTTTCATTAGTGTATAGTGAACTAAGATCACGAGGGAATATTTTGTGTTTCAGAGTGTTCTGCTGTAAAGAACATGAAGATCAATACAGGAGGAATTTGAAACATTGTGAGTTACTCCTCTTTGATTCCCTTTATTGTTGCATTACACCTTTCTCCAATACCATGTATGGACTGTTGGAAACGTTTACTACTTGTAACTAAACATTATAGATGCTGCTCCAGTGAAAGCAATTTCTTGTGTATACGGTGTTAAAGCGTTGGCTCGTCACGCCGAAGACCCGGGTTCGATTACCCACATAAGTGAGGTGAGGTGAGGTGAAATTGGGTTTAACGTCATGCTTGAGAATATTTCGCTCATATGACGACGCGCATGCATGTGTATGTGGAGGTGCGGCTGCTTGTACTAGCCCAGACTGAAGCTGGTTTTATAGTGCTAGCTCACTGAGATACCATGCCGCAGTGAAGCATGGATACCTCACTCAGACACATTATACTGACTCCGAGCCGACCAGTCCTTGATGTACCCATTAATGCCGAGAGCCAGGCAGGGACCAACAAGTACCATATTTTAATGTCTTTTGATATGACACGGTCGGGGATCGAACCCGCGACCTTCCGCTCTCCGGACCCACATAAGTACAATGTGTGAAGCCCATTTCTGGTGTCCCCTGCCGTGATATTGCTGGAGTATTGCTAAAAGCGGCGTAAAACCATAGTCACTCACTCATTGAAGTACTACATTCCACCATCACATGTGCTTGCATATGTCCACTTCGCTCTGTGTGATTGCTGTTTTTAACAAACATGTCAAAATACAGCCTGGTTGCACTGAGAGACAAACCAATGAGTGATCTGACCAAAGAGTGATCTGACCAATGAGCGATGGTGTCATGTGGCATGCCATGACTTTGCAGTCTCTGTTCAGTTTGGTTTCAATGGGAGAGAAACCAACAAGTGACCTGAGCAGTGAGGGGTGATGTCATTTGACATGTATTGTCGTCTCTATACAGTCCGGTTTCAGGGAGAAGGAACCCAGCGTTTACTGACTAAAGACCAGTGATGTTCTGTGACAGATCACATAACATTGTGGACTCCCAACTAACCATTGTTTCTGTGTCAGGCTGTGGTAATGTTTGTACAAGGTACATGCATCATGGAGTCGTCATTAAGCTTTAGTGAGTTATATCCAGCCTCATTTCATACCCTTGTAATGGACATTGGCCACCTATATACCACAAGTTGGACATAAGTATTCTGGATGATGGAGGATTATATAGTGTTCATACCACCCTGTAACATGGCATGTGTTAAAAGCCATAGGCGTGAACCTACACTGATATCGACAAAATGACTGGCTGGAATTATCACAATGTATTCAGAAAATGTGCACTCTTGTGCACTTTAGCTTCAAGAAACTTAACTTCAATTATACTGTGCTAGAGTCACTAATTCGTCCAAAATGTAACCATTTATTCTCATCTCTACCAGATCCCGCAGATATTATCCCGTTTTCAAAAAAGGTGTTTCACATTCATTTGGTAAGGTAAACCCAACAAAGTCAACACAAGTCAGATTGTTTGTGAAACATCAGATGGAGGAATAAAATGCCCCCCAATACAAGAATTGTGATGTCCCAAAAATATCAGTGTTGAGTCAAGCTTCAGTTTCACAAAATCGATTTCACATGTCCATATTTTTATTTAATATACCTAATTCAGGACCCTATGATGTATTCGAAATTATTTGCAGGACATTAAGACTTCCACCAGAATAACTAATGCATGGTACAAAGACCTTATTTGGGCCAGGTGGAAATTCATAGATAGCATCCACGTGTAGAATATAACTGACATGGCCACCCTAGCACAATACATATGGTCTAACGAGAACATAAAAATAAGAAATACCTCTATATTTCATAAGGAATGGTTTTTAATGGGATACATTTCATGAATGATCTTGATAATATGTACAATTCATGTCATTCGAAACCTTTAAAACTGTCTAAACCTTCTTTCCAACTTACACAGGACTTATGACCTATCTTTTTGCAACTTACTAGGGGTGGGTATTGCACAGAATTTTCATATTGAGATATATTGCCATGCGAAAGCATATATTGCGATATGTATTGCAATATATTGCATGAAGTATTTTTAAACAAGAACTACTTATAATCGAGTTAATGCTTGATTTATAGAGCAAAAACACAACAAAATCACTAGGCTTGATGAAGCTTTAATAACAACTTTGAATCATGATGAAATAAAAATGTGAATATTATTTGGCACAAATGAAACAAGGAAAAATCCGAAGATTTCAGAGTGTTACGAAGTTTTACGAATACAAGTCAAAATACCGGTTTTCAATCAGCGTATCGCAGTACATATTGTTTTCATGTCTGAACTGGTAAATACTGGTAAATACTGGTTGACCGGTCATATTGCTCAGCTCTACAGCTTACTGCATACTGCTTGGAATGAGGACAAGATTTGTCAGAAATTATAGACATGACATGAATGAATATTAGCATGCTTTTCTTAGAAGTATCCATTAGACTGAGGTAGAAAAGTGGTGCCATTAACTAGTTTTTCAAGAGTTAGTTCCCTTGCTAACATTTTAGGTTTTGTGCAAGCATTTTGTTACGTCCCTTCACCCATGTTATTTTACTTCTGTATCATGCCTGGGCAGGTTTCTTCTGAAACTACTGATGTCACTTGCATGAGACCTCTCACGATTGTGTTGAGTTTGAACTTAAATAAAGCATGACAGCATGAAAAGTGAGGTACAAGGTAAGCAGCCAGAGTTACCCCTCTTGGCTGTAGGGGGCCCTGTAGGGGTGGTCTCACTAGACAAAAACAAGTTTTTTGTTTTGTAACATATTTTATTGAAATATTGTTACAACTGTCGTAGGTAATTAAAATGGACATTTTAATGCTTTTATGTACCCTAAGGAGGACTTTCTTCAAAGAATTCATAACCTCTACAGGTTTGTGCAAATTTATTTAGGGGAAAGGGGCATTGGGGGTATATTAATTTTGACACAACATGTCACTGGATTGAAGTTAATTATTACTTCGTGTCTCGTCTTCGGCTGACAAGAATTGGATAATAAAGTGAGAATATAGAAAGAACAATAAGTTTAACATCTGTGTATTTAGTCATAGACTTTTTAAAAGTTTTATGAAGCTTAATATTTAAAAGATAAACAATCATACAGATAATTGTTGATAAATTTTTTTAAAAACAATGCAAGAAATGATTTATTAAAAGAATAAAAAAGATATGACAACATTGCGATGTTAGAAGAGTGAAAACAACATGATATCGAAATGAAGGCAAATCTGGTTCTTTATTTTGATTTTTTTTGTTGAAAAAAATGGGCATGTGTGAAAACAACCAGTGAAAAGTATGCCTAGGTTGCCTTGGGGTAGGAAAGTAAGATTCTTTATGGATAACAACTTCTTTTATTATATATGATGCGACGTTTCGGTATGGATTCTTATACCGTTGTCAAGAGTTGTCACTCTTGCTTGACAACGGTATAAGAATCCAGAATCTTTTATTATATATGATGCGATGTTTCGGTATGGATTCTTATACCGTTGTCAAGAGTTGTCACTCTTGCTTAATATAATAAAAGAAGTTGTTATCCATAAAGAATCTTACTTTCTTATTAGTCCCCAACTTCTAAATGCCAATCAAACAGATCATCTGCCTTGGGGTAATTGAACTTTAAACAAAAACCCCTGATGACATCAAGCCCCCTAGAGCCTCCCTTCTCAGGGCTCTGTAGGACTGTTTATGACTTACATACACACCCTAATTACTTATTTCTGTATAAACAAACAAAAATCCAATGCGCCCTATGGAAGGAAGGGTACAAAGGTTCCACAGGGCTCTGCAGTTTGCTGTGCAGAGTTTAGTCCTTGACAGTGGTTTGAATCCTACTTTACCCCGACACTGTTTGTAGGTTTCAGCACCGGACCCTAGCTCCCATCCTCGATATATATGGGGGAGATACATCGGAACGTATACCGTGGAGATAATTGAGGATGCCTTGCTCTTAGCTTTCACCAAAGGCCTAAACATTAAAAACCCACATATTTCGTGCTGCTGATAATGGTGCAAGAATCTGTATCAAAACATCACACTCACAAAATATAAGAAGTTGTTATCCAGAAAGTTGTCAATATTTTGAGCTGTCCTCTGACTTTAAGCTAACTTGCAGGGTATTGGACTATAGAATGCTCAAAGCGGTGTTAAACCAAACTCACTTAACACTCACATGACGTGGGCTAGTGATGACACTGTTTTCTTGTTTGGTTATAATCTAGATCAGTTAGGTAGCCTAATGGTTAAAGCAATGAATCACTCTGCCAAAGAACTGGTTCGATTATCAGGATCATTTCTGTGTCCCCTCCAGTTTTGGATGTAATATTGCTAAAACAATTTTAGACCCTAATCTTCCTTTTCTCATGCTTGCTTGTTGACTCGTAGCATTAACAAACTCCTAAACTTGGGATGATTGTGATACGAAAATATGCCCGAGAGACAGGTGTACCTTTATGCATGGACCGCCTGCGTGGTGTAGTGGTTAGAGCGTCCGCCCAGAGAGAGGAAGGTTGCCGGTGGGATCCCCTACCGCGTCATACCAAAAGACGTTAAAATATGGTACTTGTTGGTCCCTGCCTGGCGCTCGGCATTAATGGGTACAACAAGGACTGGTTGGCTCGGAGTCAGTATAATGTGTCTGAGTGGGGTATTCATGTTTCACTGCGGCATGGTATCTCAGTGGGCTAGCACTATAAAAACAGCCTCAGTCTGGGCTAGTACAAGCAGCCGCACATACACATACACACGCATGCCCGTCGTCATATGAGCGAAATATTCTCAAGCACGACGTTAAACCCAATTTCACCTCACCTTCACCTCACCTTTATGCATGTACCTTTATGCCAGACACATTCTCTCACGATCTGAAAACTTAATATATTGATTCACTGCCTCTACTCTCAGTTGCCTCTACCAACATTAGTTGATTTCATTATCACTTTCAGACCTTTCCTCTACATCCACCAACAACAACAACAGCGATGATGCTAGTGATTTTGAAGGGGATCCTGATTTTGACAAAGAGTACCAAGAGTTCGACTATGATGCACTTTCTCAAAACACAAATACAACATTTGTTCAGATCAGTGACACAGACTCACCAGTCAAACGTCGCACAAAGGAGAAACACGTCCCGGATGAATCAGGAGACAAGTCAATGTTCTCATCAGGTAGTAACGACATTGACAGCATCAGCGACGACGACGACGACCACAACAACAATGGAGTCCTGTCAGATGAAGTCGAAACACAACAGAAAAGAAAAGCTGACAATACATTGGTCAGTTCTACCTCTGCTAAGAAGTCAAAAACAGGTTCTCTAAATGGTAATTTACCTGAACTCTCTATTGAATGTGTTAAGATTGATTCTCCTGAGTCAAAAAATGATCAAACAATAAAAATGCCAAGTTCGTCAGTTAGAAAAAGTGCTTTAAGCTTGAAGAAAAATGGTGGAAAGAAGTTAATAGTGAAAATAACCAACCTTGGTGGTAAAGACAAACATGAGGCCAAGGTGGCAATAGATGATCACATGGTGGACCACAAGGGAGATCACAGTGGGGATCAGAATACGAGCAGCGAGGGGACTTCCACAACAGCTCCACCTACTTCCAGTGGGACCAGTCGGGATGGTAAGTCATTGTGTAGATACGCTGTGTGTCTTTGTGGCAGGTGAAGGCGGGAAGGTAGAGCTACCCTCCCTTTTTCATAATCTGGGGTGATGGGGCCATTCTTTTTGTGAAAATACATTATGTGTGAAAATACTGAAAAAAATCATTGTTTTCGTATCCTGACTCATGATCTTTTGCTTATCTCCCTTTCCCTTGCGAATGGTAGTGGAACACTTGAATCCCTTGAAGTTCCCGAAGCAGACGTAAAAATACACTCACCCATGAGTTACCTCCATTTGCCCTTTCCCGCGCAAACAGTCATGTGACCAGCCTTACTTGTCACTCTCTCCCTTTTCGCCCTAGTGGATGATTGGGCGAGCACTGGAGTCCCGTCTACGGCATTATATTCTTTTTATTTAGGTCCTATTCTTCAAAATTACGCTGTGTATGGATTTGGCAATAACTTCTATGTATTATATGTAAAGAATTTGTAAAAATTATTTGAATTTGTGTCATAATTTCATTGTTATTTAACTTTGTTTACATTTCATGAAATCTTGCAGTGTTTGCAAGCACAGGTTATCCGTGTCTGATCCTCACCCCCAATGCCTTTCATGCATAAAACCATGTTCTTCCAGCTTGCGTTGTACTTATTGTGTTGATTTATCAAATCTACAATTTAATCAATAATTGTCTTACATCTATAGACGTGCCATGGATCGGGTGAGGAAGTCATTGCATACGGATGATAAAACAGGAAATCAGCCTGCAAACCATATGTTGATTGCTATTGTGCAGATTCATAATATTGGTGCTATGTTGAGTACGTTGCAGGGGCAGTCTGCTGGTACGGGGGCCAAGAAGAGATCGGCTACAACGTAGTTGACTCCAACTCAAGCCAAGAAAAAGAAGTCATCTTTTTCTACGTCGCAGAAGAAAGCATCTGTTACCAGATCGAAGGGTAAATCTACGCGGCCTAGTAAGTCAATGCATCAGAAATCCTTCAACGAAGAGATACTACCTCCACATGAAGTAGACGTCTTTTGATGATCCCCGGTTACTTCTACCCGAAGTACCGGACTACCACCTACCTCTCAACGCAGTTAAGTCGAGGCACACAACTCATCAGCGTTTGCGAACGCTTCTTCTACACCGCAGCAGCTTCAATCAACGCAGAACTTGATCCGGGTGAATTTATGAGACAATTCACCAACCAGATGATGGCCATGATGGAACGTAGGTTCAAGGAAGAAGCGAAGGCTCGGCGAAGCCTCTCATCTACTGACATCGTGCGCACACCTATGGACTCTGCGCGAACCTACTCCTCACAGAACTACGTCTCGACTACGTTGGCGAATGTACACCTTTGCGAAGGTCTCCACAGTCGGACGACTCTGTCATCTTGGAGGAGGATAGAAGACATGAGATGCCTACTCATCTGCAAACCTTCAACGTTCGAGAACATCGAAGGATCCATCTCCTACATCTAGCCGCTCTAGATGGAGATCTCATAGCTCTCACAGACGTTCGCGCAGTCACTCAAGGTTCGCGAAGGGATACATCTAGCGACAGAGGTTCGCAAAGAGAAGGCTCACATCCCAGAGGTTCGCGAAGAGATGATTCTACAGATAGAGGTTCGCGAAGAGAGGACTCTCAAGATAGACGTTCGCAAAGGGAGGAATCTCCAGACAGAGGTTCGCGAAGGGATGATGGAGGATAAACGATTGTTATTTTGGAAGTTGTCTCTGATAAAAGTCGGTATGAGTACCTGTCCCCTGCTATGCTACACTGGAACCAGCCTTGCTATAAATAGACAACGCTTCGATGTATGCTGATCAACACAGATCGCCTGCGTATATAAGGGGAAGAATGATGTTTCATCACTGCAATCAGAGGTTAGCACTTCCAATGGAACGTCCTACCGTTTGGAATATCATCGGCACTGATTATTCATACGAAAAACCAAGTCTATCAGCACCTATCTGCAGCATCGAGGTCTACACAGTGCCGGTTATCTGGAGGACGGCATGTCCAGGTTCTTCAAAGTACCAATCAACTCAGACAGACAAAATCAAACGGAGCACTTTAAAAAAAGATCGCAAAATGGGGGGGCTACGGATGATTGATATTAAAACCTTTGTTAACACCATGAAATTATCTACACTCAAACTATACTTAAAAAAACCAAATCCTGGTGACCCATGCAATTTTCCTTTTAAGCATATGCTAAAATATGCAGCAAATTTTCAGAATATAGTAGCAGTTGATAATCCTTTTTGGAAAGACGTATTAAAGACATGGAAATAATATTGTATCAAAAATACCATAGATGCATTTTCACACTTGTAGAAAGAATTTAAGAGATGTGAAACTGTTAGATTTTCAATATTAATTTTCTGCGGAATTCTTTATACCAAAAAAGTACTTTTTAGAATGAATCTGATGGACAATACAATATGTTCTTTGTGTAATGATTCTGTTGAAAGCTTATGCCATGTATATTGGGAATGTGATGAAACCAAAGCTTTCTGGAAGAAACTTGAACAGTGAGACAAAATCTTTGATCTGGTTTGGCTTTTTAGGTAAGAACCCATTACTGAACCACATAATCGTATCTGCGAAGAGATATATTTACACTTGCTCTTTGACAAAAACAATTCCAAAAGTTGATAATTACTTAAGGATATTGAAAGACATATTTACCACTGAATCATTCATCTCCAGAAGAAATAATAATGTTGAAAGCTTTTTAGGCAAATGGTTTCCTCTCATGCCTGAATTTAACCCTGAATGACTATTAAACAAAAACATATCAGTAACATGGACATTCAATGTACTTAGTGTACTATATCGCTATTGAGCCCACTAGCTGCTATGTACACATATTCCTCTATATGCTTGCACTCATCATGTTTTTGTACTCATCACATTGGGAACAATATAGACAAAACAAACTCAGACAGCAGCTGAACTTCACAATAAAGTTGCTGACGCAACTAGGATGGCTAGTGAACCTGATGAAGTTGGAGTTAGAATCAAACAAGATCTTCAATTGCTGGGAATAAGAATTATCACAACACAGAATGGAATTGTGGCCCCAGAAGATCATTGGGTCAAGATACAAGCTATGATTCCACAAGCAGTCATCTCTCCATTAACACTACGAACATGGCAAAGTCCACTCAGTCTACTAACCTCGGCGCAGGACTTGACTCGCACAGGAAGGTTACAACTAAGGCCGCTGCAACGGTTCCTGACAAAACATCTGGACAGTGTCGACCCTATCTTGCTGTCTTAAGAGGTACCAACTTTGGTGGACCCACAGGTCGAACGTCTGCGGAGGGACCTATTTACAAGAGCCGGCCTTCGACACATCTCTATGTAGACACATCGATACAAGGTTGGGGTGCACATTTCAACAATCAAGTTGCATCAGGGAGGTGGTCCAAAATAGAGCAGCATTTTCACATCAATCTGCTTGAGATGAAAGCCGTGATCAACGCCTTACAACTATGGTCGAGCTCGCTGAACAACAAAATGCTGATGGTCCATACGGACAACTCTACAGTGGCATTCTCCGTAAATCGGTAAGGATCTACAAGATCACCAAGCCTACTACAGCACACATTCCAGTTGTTCCACATCACGGAGGAGGCAAACATCTGGATAAAGGCGTGTCACATACCCGGAGCCAAGAACGTGCTTGCAGACGCTCTCGCCCGACCACTGCACCCGTCACCTACGGAATGGATGCTCCATCCAGAAGCATTTCGGCTCATCATAAGGGAAATAGAATCCCCTTGCATAGACCTGTTTGCCACGAAGTTAAACAAACAACTACAGAGGTTTGTCTCACCAGTTCCAGATCCTCAAGCCTGGGCAACAGATGCACTGAACATATCATGGGAAGGACTAATCCCTTATGCGTTTCCACCCCCGATATTACTACCGAAAGTACTGTTGAAGATCAAACAGACACAGGTGGTACAACTGACCTTGGTCGAGCCATACTGGCCTAATAGAAGATCTCGGAAGTCCAACAATCAAGTTACCAGATTGGCCAAACCTACTCATACATCCGCACACCAAGCAAGTCCACGGAAACCCAACACTGTTCCAGCTACACATGTGGACCGTATCAAAACATGTTTGAAGAAAAGAGGATACTCCGCCAGGGCAGCCAAGGCAGTAACGGCAGTAACACTAGCGTTACGCAGATCGACTCGTAACCTGTATGATGACAAGTGGCTGAAGTTTGAGACTTATGCAAGGCGGAGAGGCTTCATTGCAATGAAAGCTACTCATCCGCAAGTGGCGGAATACCTGTGTCATCTTAGACAGACTAGACATCTGAAAGGTTGGACACTATCTACATACCTCGCTGCCATCAGTACAGAGATTACCATGAAAACAGGCATCAAGTTGAGGAAAGTACCAGAATTACTTGCTCTGCTGAGATCTTTTAAACTGGAGGACCAGCAAAAGAAGTTCAGAGCTCCGGCCTGGGATCTGAATGTAATTCTACGTCATCTTACAAGTGATGCCTACGAACCTCTAGATCAGACTACCTTCGAGCTGCTGACACAGAAGACTCTGTTCCTGCTTGCGCTAGCCACGGCAGCTCGGATATCAGAGATACATGCGCTGGACTTTGATCGAACCAGTTTTGACATGGGGCAACATGCTGCAGTTCATCTAGGACTTAGATGGGACTTCATTGCCAAGAACCAACTACCTGGTCAGCCAGATAGACAGTTCCACGTACTGGCGTCAACATTGGCTCTGCACGGAAATTGCTCTATATCAGCAATTATGGAGGGCTGCTGTTGGAAGTTGGATACGGTGTTTGTCAACCACTACCTCCGAGACATTGCCACTGAAGACGTCTAAGGCATTCACCAATTCGGGCCTCTCGTTGTAGCACAGCAACTAACGGTTCCTCAAAGGTGCTGAGTTGGAAAATCTCACCCTTTATCACGTTGACTTGTTGATAACTTTTACAAAGGAAAAGTATTAGTTTGAAAGTCCATGCACACAGTCTAGGACAGACTAGCATGAGTGATTAAAGATCCTGTACGGGTAAAGATCTTACCTGTACGTGAAGGGGTCGCAACTAATTTTTGATAAAGATCTTATCATAATCTATGGGTTGTTATAAGATATCTAGTAATAAGAAGATACTAGTTTATCTGAAGCCACATGAATCAAGATCATTCAACTTGTCTGAGACTGACGTAAGACAAGAAAGTGGTCCCCCCCCCGAGTTATAACGGAAGTTGGAAGAATAAGATCACGGAAATGCCGTTTCTTCGAGAAGATAAGAAGTTCCCATGGGGGATACAGGACGTATCTAAGGACAGCTGATGGATCCACTAAAGAAGTGGCTTGACCCACCACCAATCCGTCGGATTCTATAAGCAAAAAATCATGAGTCAGGATAAGAAAAAATATCTAATTTTTCAAGTAAAATTGATATTTTTATACTTTTCCTGACTCATGACGAGAAGCCCTCCCCGCTGGAAACACTTCGGATTTCACAGCAAATCCAAGTGCTTGGGCAGAAAAATCAGGAGAGAGTGACAAGTAAGGCTGGTCACATGACTGTTTGCGCAGGAAAGGGGAAAAGGGAGGTAATTCGTGGGTGAGTGTATTTTTACGTCCGCTCCGGGAACTTCAAGGGATTCAAGTGTTCCACTACCATTCGCAAGGGAAAAGGAGATAAGCAAAAGATCATGAATCAGGATAAGTATAAAAACATCAATTTTACTTGAAAAATGACATTTTGTGTAATAAATCAAGTTTCACACATACAGATGTTTCACTGCATGTCTTGGACATAATGGTAATTTCTATCATGTTGAAAATTGCGGGATCTGCTAATGAAGAAGAAGACTCCTGTTAATGAGTAATGGTTCACTGAAATGGATTTAGGTGATTGGGGTTGCTCATAGTGATCTTATCAAAATGGACCCTTTGGAATGTTTTTTTCACACAATTTTAAGAATTTTTGATAACAGTTACCTCAAGTGGGCGTGGTGGTGGGGTAGCCTAGTGGAAGACCCGGGTTTGATTCCCCACATGGGTAAAATGTGTGAAGCCAATTTCTGGTGTCTCTCTCCCTCCCTCCCAGGTGATATTGCTGGAATGTTGCTAAAAGCGGCGTAATACTGAACTCACTCACTCAAGTGGGCTGACTTCACATCCGCAGATGCGAAGGATATGTTACAACCAACTGTTGTGATATCTGTTGCAGCTTATGCCATATGCATTGTTGGGGAGAAAAAGTCAACCTTGAAGATACGGCAGCAACTTGAGAAACAAGTCAGCAAGAAGTTGGACGTCAAGACCAGCAACATTTTCATCTGGCAGGACCTTAGCCATACTCCTTCGCTCACCAAACAGAGCATGGTCTGTTTCATCCAGGACTTGACAGAGCGCTTCTTGTGAGTAAAGCTTGTTTGCTCTCATGCTCGTAAGAGTGATGTGATAAGACAGCTGTTTATAACATAAAGCCATTCAAATGAGTTTTGAGAATTCATGCTGAGTTATGGGTCAGAATCAAGTTTAGATATTTTACACTGGGTAATGGATGCTGGAGAAACTGAAACACAACCATGTTGTCATTGTAAGACTTGGTCATGGTTCCATCTTTGCCAGCATCATAGATGTGAAAAGATGGTGCTTGTTGTTACCTGCATAATATAAGGCCTGGTCCACTTGGAGCGGGATATCCGTGGTAAACTATGTCCCAATTGTGTAGATCAATGTTCATGCTGTTGATCCCTGGATTGTCTGGTCCAGACTTCGATTATTTACAGATTGACGCCATATAGCTGGAATATTGCTGAGTGCGGCATAAAACTAAACTCACTCACCCATTGGTATGTGTGATCGTCCTCACCTGAGCATGTCTGTTTCAGCAGAGTTGACTTGAATGGCTAGGGAGAAATCTAGCCTTTGATATACCTAGTGGACATTCTTGTTCTGTTATACGAAATTTTTAAATGTCTGGCACCTGCATCACATCAGGTTTTCCCCCCACTTGTAGCTCACTGGCCTGATCTGCATCCTCACTCATCTTTTTGGAAAACCTGTTTCAGAAAGCAGGACGTGCCCGAGGTGACGCGGTTGCTGTTTGATAACAAGTACCTGGAGGGAAAGGACAAGAAACTGTACCAGGTGCAGGGGGGCTTCCTGCAACGTCTGAACAACCAGGACATCATCAACCAAACTCAGGAGCTAGCCTGGTCCAGCATCACAACCCAGATCTCCAAAATGGGGCACAATGGAGGCGTCTTTAAGCCTGATGGCAAGAGAACTCTTGTGTTGCTGCTGAACGATTTCATTGATAAGGATGGGAGTATGCGCGAGAAACTGGGTGTTCCGCCAGATCAGGAACAGCCTGACATGGTGACATGGACATCGGCTACTGTGGTTACCAAAACAACCAATGAAGACACACAGAAGCGAAGACTTGAGGTGCAAACAATTCTTCGCTGGTTGTCGGAGAAGTATGACAACATTGGGCATGTATTTGTTCATCCCCAGGAAGATATTCTGATAATGCAATCAGAAGAGAATTATGGTATCAATGACATCATTGACCACTTACAGTCGTCCAAATCAGAGACTTCACATCATGCGGCTGTTATGATCTTCAGGCAGATTGACGCCGCTGTGGTCAACTTCCAGGCATATTGTCGGAAAGCCTTCCATAAGGTTCTGCCGTTCTGTCTGAAATCAGGAGTGGGTCTTGCAGTCCTCATCGACATACGCTCACTCTCCACTGCAAGCATACATCAGCAGATTGGGGACGTGTTTGTAGATGAGGAAGGAAGAAATGTTCCAGTGACTATAAGAAGTGTCTTTGACCCATCGTCCATCCCTGTGTCATTTGTTGTGATCGAAGTTGACGCAGACAAGCTGAAGGTACAAAGTAGGTTCCATTGATTAAAGTAACATAAAGGGACAGTCCACATCAAGTAGATTCATAGCCAAAACAGTACAGATATCACAAGTACAGTTGAGCATCGTTGTGTTGAACTCTGATAACTCGATATCTCGGTTGTCTCGATATAACATCTCGGTCCCGGCAAAATCCTTCATTATATATCATTATTCAAGCTCTTTTAACTCGATACGGATGTCTTGATATTTCGATATTATTTCATGGTCCCAACAAGCAAAATTACCCTTTTAACTCGATATTTGCAAAGAAATTCGATATTCACCTACCTTTCATGGGCAGATATCGCTCTGAACTGAGGTTGTTTCCACACGTTTACACACGGTGCGGCATGAGTCAAAGGGATGCGGTAGTGTAAACTAATTATGGTTAATTGAGTGGAAGGTGTCACTTGTTTGTTATCTAATTAGGATTAATTAAAAAAGAATTAATTAGGAAGTACTCACTGTTGTGACTAAACACTACTGATAGCGGATTATATTTTCGAATCAAAACATACTGAAAAACGTTTTGTGTTCTTTCATAGGGATATGTGATGATATGCCCTGGTCGGATGTCTCAAAGTTCGGATATCTTGATAATTTTTCTTGGTCCCATGAATATCGAGACAACGGTGCTTGACTGTAACTCATTTATGCATGGCATTAGATCGAGTGTTATTTTGCACATTTACCTAGTTATCTATTTCCATTATAAACATACCATGGCATATGTCCCTTGAAATATGACATCACTGGAGCCAATTGATAATGAATGACGTGAATAACCTTAACAGACCAGGTGTAGGTTCAGGTGTGTGGTTCTTGTGTCTCGATGTGTACCTCTCACTAGTCTCAGCAGCGTTTGAAATACCTGCCTGCCCGACTGCCCGGGACGGTTATTATCAACACGGACTGCCAGGTTCTCAAATTCACCATTCCCCGCAGTCAGGTTAAAATTTAGACATGTACTGGTATGTGAAGATATTTTGTGGGCAGGTAAGTTTTGGTCAGGGCTGGCAAGTTTTACATCTAACCAGCCCTGTGGTCTGACTGATATGTTTGGGAGTTTCATACCCTGGTCTCAGTGTTACGTTGTGACGATGTCGCGGTTTCAAACACGGACACACTGTTAACAACGTGCTACAACTTTCATATTTTTTTTCATAGAGATCGTCCTTGGGGTACATATATGCATTTTCTGCAGCTGAAAATGTCATGTGACAGTTGTATCAATGTTTTAATAAAAATATTGTACAATAAATACAATCTTTTTTATTTATTATACAGCCCCCACCACGTGGAGTTAGCCCCCTGCTATGCATGCGCAGCCAACCAGGTAAGCACCTAGGCCCGTATCACCATTCCTTCTGCTGTCACTCTAGCGTTCACACGTTTTTCCAAAGAGTAACAAGCTGATTTACTTCTTGTCGGAAGAATGTCGGAGACTTCAACTACTGTATGTATGGTCTTTATTCGTTCTTGAGAAACGTTTTCTGGACTATGCAGTCAGTTATTTCTCATTTATGTGACTTTGTATTAAACTTTTACGCTAGCTTTCCTGTGGTTTAAGCACGTGATGCTATTCCATGGGGGGAAGGTTAGTGTGCCAAGTGGTTGAAATATTGCATTATTTACCAAGTATTTCATGTCGCGCTGTCGCATTCACGTAATTTTCAATGTTTTGTACGTGTATATTTATGCTGTTGTGTTACGCTGTTAGCTACATGCTTGCGTGTTTGCTTTCAGGCGTTTACGAGGTGTACTGCCTGCCGGCAAAATATCCCTCGTTCAGATAAGCATGATAAATGCTTATGCTCACTTTAAACTTCTTTGCTGATATCTCAGGTCTTGAGATTAACTATGATAAGTCTCAGGTAATATGGATAGGGGCAAGAAAGAACAGTTCAATCAGATACTTACCTTGTTTGAACATACAATGGAATCCAGAATATTTTAAGCTCCTGGGTGTAATATTTTCAACAGATTTAAATGTTATGGATGGAAAGAATTCTGAAAATAAATTATTTGAGATTCAGTTAATTATCAACAGGTGGATGAAAAGAATAATTACACCACTTGGTAGAATTGCTATTATAAAATCATTACTGGTTTCAAAATTGAATTATTTCTTTCTTACCCTCCCAAACCCCCCAGGAAACTTCCTGCATGAATTAAATAAAGTACTATTTAAATTTCTCTGGAGTGGTAAACCTGATAAGATCAAAAGAGTGGTTTCTTGTAAGCCTGTTAAAGAGGTGAACTTGGTATGGTTGAAGCTTGTTCTTATGTTAGTTCTTTAAAATTGTCTTGGATGAGAAAGTTGTTGGATATTGGCTATGAATCCAAATGGAAATATTTGTACTGTGCTTCCTCCCCCAAAATGAAAAATTCAGCTGTATTTGGTAATTCTTTTCCATGTACACTCTATAAAGATATTAAGAATGAATTTTGGCTTGATTGTATTTCTGCTTTTAACAAGTTTGCTCATAAGATTCAACCATGTTCATTTGATGAATTCATCACAGAACCAATCTATTATAACAAGCACTTAAAAATTGGTAAAGAAGTTATTTTTTGTTCTGCTTTGGTTAGAGAGAGGTGTTAGTCAGATTCGTGATTTTATCAATTTAGACGGAACATATCGTACTCTCGAGGAATTTCAGAACACTTTGGAACTTGACATAAATTTTCTCCCTTATAATGGTCTTATCATGGCTATTAAAAGTTATCAAACTAATTTAAAGATAATGAAACCTACTTCTTTTGAGCAGTTAGATGGTAATACAGTTAATCAAAAAATGATGTCTGTTAAGAGGGGTGCCAAGTGTTATTACTATGTTTTGACTGCATATCTGATGTAAACTTAAAATTCATGAATGAAGGGGAGGATTGTATGCTTGAATGGGAAAAAATATTTTTAAAGACTACAAGGGATACTAAACTTCAATGGTTTCAGTTCAGGCTTATACATGGCATTCTATCAACTAATTCATTTCTATTTAAGATCAAATTAGCTGAAAGCAACTGATGTACCTTTTGGCAATGTGAGGTTGAAACAATCTCCCACTTGTTTTGGTATTGTGAACATGTGCAAGCTTTTTGGAAATGTTTTCTAGAATTATTGAATGATAAATGTCAACATTTTCACAACATGAAATTGGACCTGCAACTTACTGTGTTTGGAATGAGAACAAATGTATATACTGATGATGTGTTTGATTTAATATTGTTGTTAGCTAAGTTCTTCATATATAAATGTAAGATATTAAAAACTACTCTTAGTTTTAAACATTTTAGACATTATTTACAAGATAGGTATTTTATTGAAAAGAATATGTCCTTCAGTAAAAGTGAACAAGATAAGTTTTATAAAAAGTGGATGTTATATCATGATTTTGCAAATATTAAATGATTTTCTGAATTCTTTCTTCTTGTTCCCTAATGAAAAATATAGGCTGAATGGACTTGAACTTAAACTTACTGTAAATATTTGAAGCTTGTAAGTGTGATTGGTGAGTGAATGTGTTGTTGGTGTCTGGTGTTGTTGTTTTGTGCTATCCACCATAAGTGTCGGCCATCTACCACTGTTGAAGCGAGGCCGGCCAGAGTTCACCGGCATAAGGCGCACTCCGGCGCGGTCATGTCCGGTCAAGGCGGTTATACTGCGTGATGAAGTTCAGGCTGTGCTGGACAAGACCGCAATAGAGCGCATACCACCGGGCAAGGAACAGGCGGGTTTTTATTCCACGTACTTCCTCATTCTGAAGAAGGATGGCGGGTTCCGTCTCACTCTCAACCTCAAGGGGTTGAATCGCATGTTAGAGGTTCCATCCTTCAAGATGGAGACACTTCGCCAGTGATCACTCCTCTGGCGATTGGCCTCTGGTTCTCTTACGCGGGTTCCAATTACCAATGCATCCATCCCTTCAGCATATCCACTGTGCCCAGGGTGTTCACCAAGCTCATGTTAGTGCCGGCTACCCTTGCAAGGTCGCAAGGAAGGCGTTGTTACCCTTACCTAGATGACTGGTTGCTCAGCGCTCTAACTCAGCCAACGAGCCTAGATTCTACCCACACGGTGATAGATATTCTAGTTTGACTAGGGTGGATCATCAACCTCAAGAAATCCGACCTGGTACCCACCCAGGACTTGGGTCTTGTCTCTTTGTCGCCCGACTGGGTCACCAGAGTACGGGAGATGCTGTCTTCATTCCTCTCCCAGCCCCAGGCACCAGCGCGGACTTGGCTCCGTCTACTGGGTCATATGACGGCAACTATCTCTGTCGTGTGGCGTGGTTGTTGAGGATGCGCCCTATACAGCAAGCTTTGGTGAGTCTGTGGGCTCACTCGGAGGATCTGGAGAAGTGTCTCACAGTCCCCGAGTGGTTGTCTCCTCACCTTCAGTGGTGGACCAATGTCGGGAATCTCTCCAAGGGGGTCCCTTTGGAAATCTCGACGCCAGCTCTTACAGTTCAAACCAATCATGGGCGTCCCTCACGTGGCTGAAGTCCGGTGTCCAGACCGAGGCCGCCTTCACTTCATTGTCTTAGAACTGAGAGCTGTGTGGTTGGTTTTCGAGCGCTCCCGGGAGCATGTTCAGGGCCAGGTGGTTCGTCTTCAGTTGGACAACCGTACGGCCATGACGTACATCCTGAAGCAAGGCGTCAAGGTGTCCCTAGTGCTCCTTCAGGAGACGTGGGAATGTCTCCTCTGGTGCGACCAGTGCGACGGTCAGGTGATCCCTGTTTATCTCCTGGGGCTGGAGAACGTGCGAGCAGACGCTTTCTCTCGCCGGATCCTGGCCCCGCATGAGTGGATGCTCGACCGGAAGATATTCGGAGTTATCTCCCAGTTGTACGGATTGTTCCAGGTGGATCTGTTTGCGTCTGGTGAGACGAATCAGATACCCGTGTTCTGCTCTCGAATACCGGACCAGAGGGCGTTGGCTTCCGACGCCTTCCTGCTGAATTGGACGGGCAAGGTGCTGTCGGTGTTTCTGCCTCTACCACTCATTCCCCGGGTCCTCTCCCAGCTGTCCACCCAGCCAGCTCGGCTACTTGTGCCACTGCCAGTGCTATGGCCGTCACAGAGCTGGTTTCCGGTAATTCTCAGAACGGTGCAATCCAATCCAAGAATCAGTGGGTGGCTTGGCCTCTGTCATGTCTAGCCTCGAATAACGTGGAATTCCTGCAGCAGTTGCAGACACAATTCTGGCTTCGAGGCGGGATTCGACAAACTTTCTTTTAATATGAGGATAGGTGGTCCCGCTATGCGCGCTGGTGTTCAGATAGGGGCATTGCAGATCCTTTTTTTGCGGATTTAGTCCGAGTATTGGAGTTTCTGCAAGCTTGTTTGGAAGAAGGCTTGACGGCTTCGACCATTCGTGGCTACTCCACCACTATTTCCACTTTCCACACCCCTGTCGATGGTGCTCTTCTGGGGCAGCACCCTCTTCTACAGCGCTTCTTAGCTGGCATGGATCGGGTTCGACATGCTGTCAGGCGTACCAGCCCACCTTGGGATTTGTCAATCGTACTAGATTGCTGTCCGGTCCTAAGTTCTCATGTCTATCGGCTATTTCCATTCAGCTGTTAACATGGAAGGCCGTATTTCTGGTGGCGGTAACATCTGGGTGAAGGGTTGGCAACTTACATGCTATGTCGGCAGACCTGGCGCTGACTGTGTTCCATCCAGATCGTTTCAGTATTCGCCTCCTGGATACTTACTGTCCGAAGATTGATCACGCTTTCCATGTGACAGCTCCTATCGAACTTCCTACTCTTACCAAGCCTTCCACATCGGGGACCTCTGCAATGAGCACTCACCCGTTGGATGTCCGTAAGACCCTCAAGGACCCATCTATTCTGCTGTTACGGTGGCGGGAAGGCTGGGATGCCGGCTAGCAAACAGACCCTATGACGCTGGCTTGTATTGGTCATTTGTAGTGCTTGTCAGGATAAGGGCAAGCCTCCCCCTGAGGGGTTGAAGGCTCACTCTGTCAGGGCAGTAGCCACTTCAAAGGCTTTTGCATCGTCACTGCCCCTTGAAGAGATATGCTCTGCCTCTATTTGGAGCAGGCTTAGCACTTTTATCAGGCACTATCAGCTCGATACACATTCTTGTGATCGAACGCGTTTTGGCCGTTCTGTTTTCTCCAGTGGACAGTGTCCTGCCACCCTGACCGAGTGAGTCTTGGTTATCTGGACAGTTGACACTGTTTTCAATTGTGTATAATTGATATATCCACTGTAATCATATCTACTTTCTCTCATGAGATTATATTTATGGGTTGTGAGTTGGTTTTCCCCCTTATGGTGCTCTTGTATAGATTTCACAATGTGGGCGGGTTTTTTACTTTCGCACAGTGTGCGAAATGTTTTGCTTAACTTGTGAGGTCGGGTCTCAGTACTGTCCTCCCTGTCGGTTACCCTCCCATCATGCCTCTCGCGGAAACTTCAGGACACATGACAGGTGAGTGTTGTGGCGTCAGTTACTTTCTTCCTAATGATCGCTATTTATGTGTACTTTGACAGAATTCCCTCCTCCCTGGCCTCCAGTCTTTGGGAGTCTGAGTTAATGCATATATGTACCCCAAGGACGATCTCTATGAAAAAGAATTAGTTAAACCTGTAGAGGTTTGCAATTCTTTGAAGAGAATCGTCCTTGGGGTAGGGCCACCCACCTCCCCGCAATTCTCTTCACTGATTTATTTAGCAGAAAGAATGGTGATACGGGCCTAGGTGCTTACCTGGTTGGCTGCGCATGCGTAGCAGGGGGGTAACTCCACGTGGTGGGGGCCGTATAATAAATAAAAAAGATTGTATTTATTGTACAATATTTTTATTAAAACATTGATACAACTGTCACATGACATTTTCAGCCGCGGAAAATGCATATATGTACCCCAAGGACGATTCTCTTCAAAGAATTGGAAACCTCTACAGGTTTAGCTAATTTCAGTATACAGGGTAAACAAATTTCATGATCCAGCTTGAGTCATTTGTTTTTCCAGCAGTGTTTACTTTCAGCAAATCCAATATGTATATGCACAAGATCTACCTAGCCATAGATGAATATGCTGGCATTCTAAGTTTGTTATTGTTCTACAAAAATCTCAGAGTATACAATCCCCTCTTCAACCCTCACTTTGATGTGGAAAAGATATCCAATACATCATGAACATTGCAGTTCGAATTCTGTGGGAAATTCCATTTTCTGGGATATCATCCACTCATGTTAGGGCCGGCAAAATTACTGAAAACAATGCATCGTAAATGTTGCCATTTTTTTACATTAGTACATCTATTCACAACGGTGGTTACAGTCCGTTTGAGACAAAATGATACCGATGAATTGCAATCTAACACAAAAACAAATAGACGTAAAAGAATCAAACCAATGCGGACTGCAATAAAAACAACAGACCAACTCTAGAAAAAATTGCATAGTTTCTGTCACAAAAATAAAAACGTTTAAGAAAGTGTCATAATTTATTTGTGTTTTCCAAGTTTGTTACAAGGGTGCTGTGGCAACTAAAGGAACAGCAGGAAAAGGATAGAATATCCATGGGAATGGTATCGTAACAACAGTTACTATTAATGAAATTGGAATAGATTTAGTTACATGATTTGGTACAGTCAACACAAGTTATTATAGTTTCTGTCAAGCAGTTGTGTTATGCTCTAAGGGGGGTAACTCTGGACTGTTTAACTCCGAAAACAAAAGCCTGTAATCTGTAAAGTAGTTTATGGTGGATTGTGGTCTTTGTGTTGAAAATGTTTCACTAAAAGCAGATAAAACAATGAAACTGCTTACTGTTGATGTACACTACTATTAGTTTAACAACAAATTGCATCAATGTTTAGTAAGGCAGCGAGTGCTTCTGCACTGTTTGTTGTCTCAGCATATGAATCTACATGCCCTGCATCTCTTTCAGAAAGCCATGTAAGCACTCCTGTGAAGCAGCCCCCAAAACGAAGTCAATACCCAAAGGACCTGCAGAAACCTTCAACATCTGGTGTCAAACGCAAGTCCCTAAAGACCAGGAAATAGAACCCTTTGCAGACAAATAAGGAAATTCTTTTCTTTTCTTTTGCATTGAAGAAAAATATTTGTTATATTTTAAAGGATATTATTTTCTTGAATTGTTATTTTAACACTGCATTCATGCAATAATGTAAACTAAACATTAATATCTCTTCCTCTTTCTCTTCTTCAAGATCCTGTTATCGGTGAAATCCAAGTCACCTTCACAAAGCCACAGTAGTCGTAAAACTGTATTGGCACAGGAAATGTTTCATACCGAATTCTTACTGATATTTGTTGTTGATGTTGGGCTAAATATTGCCTCGAACCAGGTAAACATAGATTTAAATGCCTCAGGTTCACTTGGCCAAGGTTCATGGTACAGTACAACCAGAAATTATTGAGAATTTAAAGATTGTAATTTTTTATATATTTTTCACTCATTACTCACGTATCAATGTGAATATTAGCAGAACATAACTCCAGATTCAAAGACATGTGAACAGTTAGTATTTTGTCAAGTCACCATGGGCAGCAATGCAGGCTTCAATGCGGCGGGGCATACTACTGATCAAAGAAGTTAGAAAGTCGTGGTCCATGTTGTCCCAATTTCAGACCACCTCTTCTTTCATTTCAGCAATATTTGTCAGATTTTTCTTATTGACACTTTCCTTCATAAGGCCCCAAACATTTTCTATTGGATTTAGGTCAGGGTTATAGCTTGGCCAATCTAATAATGTCATATTTTGGGTCCGAAACCAGGCCTGTGAATGCTTTGAACAATGTTTTGGGTCGTTGTCCTGATGGAAAATCAAAAAAATTCCATAGAACACGTGAGCAGATGGAAGTAAATGTCCCTCGAGAATATCTGTGTACCGCTCACTGTTCATATTCCCTTCAAATACACAGAGGGGCGTTGCCCCTAACACAGATATGCCACCCCACACGTTAAATTTCGGACTGTACTTTGGGTGCTGATACAAAGGTTTTTCAGTTTGTTTGGTCCAGAATTTCAGTGTATTAGGCAACAGCCACACAGAACTTTCATCTGAGAGAAAATCACATTGTCCCAGTTAAAATTTCTATGCTGTAAGCACCAGTTCAACCTTCGCGGCTTTTTTGTTCAGGTTTCATGATCGGTGATGGAATTCCTCGATTTTATTGCCAACCCATTGCATGCAGCTCAGTTCTAATTGTCTCCTTACAGACAGCCACAGTTCCTCTATCAATCATATCCAGCCTTAAGTTTTCTAAACTTAGAAACAAGAATACCAAGCCGCCTCCTGTCACCGACAGTCAATTTTCTGGGCCTACCTGCGCCTCCCTGGTGCTCAATGCCATATCCATTTGCAATATTTTTCAAAACACGATAAACAGTGGACAAAGGGATGCCTGTTCTACTTGAAATCACTTTGGCTGATCTGATGTCCTTGTTATAATACTCTAAAATCAAATTCCTCTTCTCTAAATCATCCATACTGAGGATCACTGAAAATGTTGTCTGCTAGCAAGTAAACAAAGGGGGACAACTTTTCACAAACTAATGAAAAAGGATTAAGGGAGTTGTCTCTCTTGAATGAAACCAAGCACTTGATAGCTGGTCAAGGTTGTTTATACTAGAAATCCAATTAAACATATTCCTAAAATTCTCAATAAGTTCTGGTCATACTATAAAACCAAGTGAACCCTCCTGATCTGACTCTGTACCTTGCTGGTCTGTCAGGATAGACATGGCCACTGGTCCCTTAACCTGAGACAAGCAGAGGGACTAGTTGTTATTTTATGAAATGGAGTGCTGACTAGCTAGTATTGATCAGTGGTGTCAGCTTTTGTTTGTCTGTGCAAGTCCAGCTAAATGTAAGACTGTCAAAGTTTTGTTATGATAAATTCTAAAGCATAATTGTTGTACAGGGTATATTCTATTATACAATCTAGTCAGTAATGATGTATTCTTCTATAGAACCAATGTTGATTCTGAACTAAAATGTCATCAGTTTGCCATATAATGAAGATGTTTGTTAAACAAGTTCATAATCTTTCAAAATGACAAGTACTGAATTGCTCAATTTTGTGGAATTAAAAAGGCAAGTGAGAATGGGCTGCCATCATTCAAACTAGCGTAGACATGACCATGGGGGCGATGGGGTAGCCTAATGGTTAAAGCGTTGACTCGTCACGCCGAAGACCCGGGTTCGAATCCCCACATGGGTACAATGTGTGAAGCCCATTTCTGGTGTCCCCCGCCTTGATGTTGCTGGAATATTGCTAAAAGCGGCCTAAAACCAAACTCAGTCAGTCAGTCAGACATGACCGTGATGACTGAATTCAAGATCGTCATTATTGGCTTTTCACAATGCAAGATTGTTAGGGGTTTGTATTGTTTGCTAACAAATTTTGTAATCTGCCCATATTTGACTATTTTTCATCAGTACAATGTTTAGATATGTGGGGCACTGTGAATGTGTCATTTGTCTTATCAAGTATTAAACAACATTATGTATCTTTCTGGCGTTTTGTACTTGAGAAAGAGACTGTTGATGTATTTCGTAAGTGAAACAAGTGATGGATCTGGTGATGTCACTTCTAACGTGAAGGTAAGGTAGCAAGTCGTAATGTTATGATAGAATAAAGGTATGAAACTCTGGATACTTGAGGATCCTCTTGAAACTGAATATAAAACAACTTCAGCTTCCTTGTGTTGCTCTAGAGTTGATAGCAGTTTTAAAACAAGTATAGTTTTTATTATCCATCGCCGCGCGTTTAGTGCGGGCGGGGATATAATATTGACGTATGCATCGCATTTACGAATTGGAATATCTTAAGAACCGTTCACTAGATTCTTTTAATATTTGGTACTTAGGTTCATCACAGTATAAGAAAGGTCCAAGTCAGATTTGGTGACCTTGACCTTCATTTCAAGGTCACAAGGGGACTTTAACGTTTTACCTGCATGTTAAGCTATCTCAAGAACTGTTCCCTGGATTTTCTTCATATTCAACCCAAAGCTTTATCTAGGGAAGGCGCAGGGCCCAGTCGATTTTGGTGACCTTCACTTAATTTTCAAGGTCACAGACACTTTGAAGATTTCAGCATATTAACCTACATGTTATCCTTGTCAGCGAGATACCTCAAGAACCATTCTCTGGAGTTTCTTCATATTTGAAACCAAGCTTCATTCAGGGAAGGCGCAGGGCCCAGTCGATTTTGGTGACCTTCACTTAATTTTCAAGGTCACAGAGACACTTTGAAGATTTCAGCATGTTAAATTGCATGTTAAGATAGTCAGCAAGATACCGCAAATAATATTCACTGGATTTTCTTCATATTTGACACCAAGCTTCATCTAGGGAAGGCCCAGGGCCCAGTCAATTTTGATGACCTTCACATAATTTTTAGGGTCACGACGACACTTTGAAGATTTCAGCATGTTAACCTGAATTTTCAGCAAGATATTTTAAGAACGGTTCACTGGATTTTCTTCATAGACTTTCAAGACTTCCCTTGAATGTTTTTCAATAAGCAATTTCTTTGGTGATAATACTTGTTGTGTTTAAGAATTAGAATGATGAACTTCCAGATTACACTATTGTTTGAGTATCTGTTTTGTGATGGACAGATAAATTTGTATTTAGGGATGTAAAAGGAATGTGCTTCAAAGATTTTAGGTTGTTTCCTTTTCAGGTGTGGCACTTTTCCGCTGACACAGATTTCCACTCATTTTTTTTCAAATTGATGAATTATGTAAATAGTCTGAAATTTGCAATTACAAGTATTCTATTTCTTGAGCAGATCTTGAAAGCTGTATAAAAGGTCTGCAGCAGACATGGTGCATAGATAGATGTAGTTGTGAACTGGTGCCATTTGATATATTCCTGACAAGTATTTACCATTTTGGGGTATAACAATGACTTTCTGTTGTTTTGTTTTTCTGACTGTTCATCATGTTTCATGAAATGTTGTCATACAATACCTTGTTTAATTTCAGCCATGTGTACTTATTTATAGCGTTAGGTTTCCTACTCTTCAAGTGTGGAATGACTACATTTTATTGGATTTAAACTGGCCTTGTTTACAGAATGATGTAATGAGGACATTGAAGGTAGTGTGATTTTATATTGATAATCGTTTACCATGAAGATATTTTTGTTTACGACAGTAACTCCCTGAAAGACAGTGTGTGTATGTTTGTACATGTGTGCCTGTGTGTGTTTGTGTGTGTGTGTGTGTTTGCCTGTGTGTCCTGAAAACCTATTGTATATTATTTGTGGTGTCTGTTTTTGTTAATCATACTGCTGTAGATGTTAAAAGTAGTATTTTCCTCATATTTTAATAGGTTGTCAATAGTATTGACTTTGCCTGCCACAGATAATGTTGACATGTACAACAGAAAATGTTAATGATGGAATATGTGTCAAACTAGAAACAAAAATGTATAAAAGTTTGGACTGATGCAGATCAGGTTTCCCAAGCACAGTCACTCATGAAATCCTGCCCCATACAGTGTGCAGTTCTAGCCACAAGTCTGAGCCCAAGTGAAATGTCTTTCTGTCTAGTGGGCCCATATTACAGTGGTAGAAGGGTTGTCTCAGAAAGCTGAATATCCTGAATGTTCCCCAGTGGCAAGGCTTCAGTAATGTTATGGGAGCTACACATCAGGAGTCCAATCACATTCAAATCTGATCATGGTGATACAACGGTGAAGCTGTATAGAACACTACAATCTGATCATGGTGATACAACAGGTGAAGCTGTATAGAACACTACAATCTGATCATGGTGATACAACGGTGAAGCTGTATAGAACACTACAATCTGATCATGGTGATACAACGGTGAAGCTGTATAGAACACTACAATCTGATCATGGTGATACAACTGTGAAGCTGTATAGAACACTACAATCTGATCATGGTGATACAACTGTGAAGCTGTATAGAACACTACAATCTGATCCTGGTGATACAACGGTGAAGCTGTATAGAACACTACAATCTGATCATGGTGATACAACGGTGAAGCTGTATAGAACACTACAATCTGATCATGGTGATACAACGGTGAAGCTGTATAGAACACTACAATCTGATCATGGTGATACAACGGTGAAGCTGTATAGAACACTACAATCTGATCATGGTGATACAACTGTGAAGCTGTATAGAACACTACAATCTGATCATGGTGATACAACTGTGAAGCTGTATAGAACACTACAATCTGATCATGGTGATACAACGGTGAAGCTGTATAGAACACTACAATCTGATCATGGTGATACAACTCATGGTGAAGCTGTATAGAACACTACAATCTGATCATGGTGATACAACGGTGAAGCTGTATAGAACACTACAATCTGATCATGGTGATACAACGGTGAAGCTGTATAGAACACTACAATCTGATCATGGTGATACAACGGTGAAGCTGTATAGAACACTACAATCTGATCATGGTGATACAACGGTGAAGCTGTATAGAACACTACAATCTGATCATGGTGATACAACTGTGAAGCTGTATAGAACACTACAATCTGATTTTCTTGCCATTGGATTGGACATACACGTTTAAAAAACAATGGGGAGCCTGAACTTTGAATTTGGTTAGGAAGTATAAGCATTAACAAACCTTTCAAAGACAGACATGTTATGAACGCACCACCATTTCTCTTTATCACCACCCCAAAAACACAACGCATGGGATGCACATCCACAACCCAGTAGCCACATACATGTACATGGGGTGTCATTCTTTACTTTGAAGGTTTTCAGGAATGTTGATAAACCACTGTAGACCATAATTTTGAGAATCATCTTGCATCACACAGTTAGTGTTTGTTTTTAGACGTTTTGTTTTTTTGTTTGAAAATGAAATTCGTACACATGCAAATTTCACGTCATACACCAATCATCTTTCAAGAGCGATTATGTACAAACAACTATGGTCATAAGGAAGTGCAAGTGGTGATGCCCTCTCAAAACATTCATTATCATCATATCAACATTGACTCTGATATATCTCCCAATTTTTTTAATCGCAAAGTTTTATAAATGAAATTCCCATACTTTTTTAAAGGGTATATTTTAATGAAATTATGATTTAACATGATTCAACCACAGAGTGAGGATATTCAACCTGTAAAATAAAAGACATTGTGTATTCATATTGGTAAATTGATGTTTTTGCTCTTATGACTGGAGTAACTACCAGTAAACTTTGTGAGATGTAACATCTGGCGACACTGGAGGAATGTTCTTGTTCACCGAGCTGATTTCTCTGCAGAAGTGATTTTGTTGCACCGATACTTCATTGTCACTTACAGGTACAAGTGATGGTTCAGTGGTAGCACATGTATGGGGCATGTCATTTCTAACAGTGCTTCACTCACTCTAAATATTGGAGCTATTGGTAGTGCAGAGATGCCGACCACTCCGATTTTGGAGGTGTTACTCTGATTTTTAAATACAAAATTCACTCTCCGATTTGTCTATAAAAAAACTCTGATTTTTCAGAAAATACAAATATGTTTGTAACTTTAGAATGTTTGAAAGAATTTTAGTAAATAGCCATTTAAATATGATCATTTGAGTTAAGTATCATCAGGTTAAGTAAGACCAGAAATTGCATATTTCCAGGCTAAATCTAAACATTTTCATAGGGGAGGCCCCCCAGACCCCAGCTGTCAAAAGGGCCCCGAGCCCCATCTCACACTCGCCCCCAACTCGCACCTTCAGGGCTCGGGAAGAGCCGTTCTTTCCCAGACTGGGAAAATAAGTGTTTTCAGTGTTTTCACCATGGCTTTATTGTAAACTCCTCACAATGTAAATAAATCTATACATGTTAATATTACAGAGAGTTTTTCCTGTTTCTGCATTATTGTTATTCAGTTCTTCAGTGTTATCTCCCTTGTTAAATCTGTTCATGCTTGAAATTGTTATGTTGAAACATACATTGTTGATATATTGAGAATAGTTCTACAGGGATGGAAATAACCACAGAAGTCTATTAGGCTGCAAAGTACATGGAATTAACCCACCAAAATGTTTGATGTTCTACTCACCTTCAGGACACCATTGACAGAAAGGGTCCAAGTTAGGGCTGTTGCTAATGAAAGTGTTTAGTGATTTTACAGCTAAAAATTTGTCTTCCAAGCTGATTAGACTCAGAATACATTGGTTCTGGTTTCTTTGACCAGAAGATTTTACAAAGTTGCCATGTTTAAGGAATACTACAGAATTAATTTGGAACCAATGTCAGTATCTACAAGTGTCAAAAGTTAATTATCCAGACAAATCCAGGTAATGACATACATAGCAATATACATGTATTTAATATGTGACACTGCCAAATGTGGATGGTAATATGAACTTGCACTACTTATATGTGTGCAAGATATTTCCATAAAAAAACACCCCTTTTAATACCTCTAGGTGTTGCTTAGATCACCATAGCTAAGAACACTTCTCTGATCGTGAATATCAGCTGAAGTAATGTATTGTTTTCTTTAAATGTTAACTATGTGGAGAAAGCCATGAATATTTCCATATGTAAATGCCACATGAACCATCCTAAAGTGTCCAGTGATTTATATGTTCATTCTGCTTTGATGATTGCCAAGATATTTAATGAAGTTTTGTGGCAAATGTATCCTGGTCCAGTATGTTTTCTTGTAATAGAATGGAGATTTCATACACTAGAAAAGCGATGAAAAACTTGGAAAGACATAATATAGAGCAACGTTCTTAAACACAGACAGCATGTTTAGTAGCATGATGTGATTTCATTATGTATTTTGTGGTATTGTAAATACTTAACTGTAAATGTCTTCCTCACTCCCACCTTAGAGAAACAATGCATATCTGGCAATCTTTCTTAGTGCAGAATGTGGATATTCAAAGGACTCTTTGTGCTATGCTATGTTAGAATTGTCAGTATGTGAAAACTAGTATTAGTTAACAAGTATTTTTAGCTCATCTTACTGTGCGACATAAAATAATTGACACTAAATATTTGTTTGTTTTCCATGATCCACATTTGTACAAGCCTACATTTCACCTGATGGTGTGACGTCCGCAATCTATGAAAACAAATTTTATGGGTTGCCCCACTGTCTAATGTGCCAAAATTTGATGTGTGGAGTTGAGTCTCTTGGGCACACCAGGATCCAGTGATTGAGGGATTCAAGCCCAGTCTCCCCAATTACATTCACAGGAATGAACACTGAAGTGCAAGTGTACATACACATTTACACACATATATGAATTTGAAAGGTGAAAGGTTTTCTTAAGAATAATCTCATCAAACATGAAAATTCAGTATTCCCCTGATTTTTGGCAATGCACTCCCTTGCTGGTCTGAAACCCAGTTTGTTTGATAGCCGACTATAACTGGCATCTGGTAATAAATGGTGCTGGCTGGAGAACTAAAAGTTAGAGTATCGTTTCAATTCAATATTGTGTGCAATATTTATTGGTTTGAGAACATGGTTAAATTGTAATAATAAAAAAGATAATTATGATACATGTATCCATAATATTTCGTAACACTGGCACCTGTGAAGGTCCGGGTTAGAATAAACCTTCAGTAACCCATGCTTGTCATAAGAGGCGACTAACAGGATCGAGTGGTCAGGCTCGCTGGCTTGGTTGACACGTCATCGGTTCCCACTGGATTGTCTGGTCCAGACTCGATTATTTACAGACCGCCACCATATAGCTGGAATATTGCTGAGTGCGGCGTAAAACTAAACTCACTCACTCACATAACACTGGGATGTCATAATTAGCTTTTCTGTTTGTCTGTAATCCGTTTTTGTCTGGTTACTGGAGTTGTAAAGCAGTATCTGAATCAGAATAATGTATTAACCTGGCCCACAAGATCCCCTCTTTTGTCTTCCACTGAATAAGTCGGATAAAAAGGTGTGATATATACATCATCCGAATCCTCTAACAACGCTGCAGGAACTTTGCCAGAGCTTCTGTAACTGGATTTACAACAACTGGCCCAAGATACACTCAAGCCATTGAGCATAAATGCACACATACAAATGGCTAGAGTTTACTGTGAGATTTTGTTCATGATCTACCATGCAAAGCACCTATTGAAGACTTCTTGTGTCAACAAACATTTAGCCAAGTGCTCACGTTTCAACAGTTGCATGTCATCCAGAAGGTGCCACAAATGCAATCAAAACAGAACAGCTTGAATCTGTTCAATAAGGCCAGACCAATTTTATTTCTTGTTTTACGGATCCGCCTGTCATATTTTTTCAAGAATAAGAAAAAAAATAATGTAAAACCTAAACAAGAAAAATGTAAACCTACAAGAAAAATGTTTTTTAGCTGTTTTTTGCCCCATATACACTTAATAAATTGCCAAAAGTAAAATACTTTGAGTATTTAGAAGGAATATTACTTGGACTGGTGATTTTATTTTTATTTTTGTTCCCTCCAAAAATCCGTAAAACAAGAAATAAAATTGGTCTGGCCTAATCTTCAGAATGAGTTATGGTCCTGAGACCGGTCAATTAGTAAACTAACTTTTCAAATTGTAGATGATTTTATTGTTCTTCATTTACAAATACGCTTCATGTGAGACACAGGGAATATGTACATGCATAGGCCTGGGTTTGTAGGAAGGATCTAGTTCCGGGTCTTTGTGTACAACTGGATCACTTCACAGTGCTGGACTCCAGCTCACTTTGGAAGACGTCCTGGTTTATCCTCCATGATAGTCCCAAGGGGTGGTGCCGATGGGTTCATTGCCAGACCGCTGTAGGCAGGTGGATCTTGAGAGGGGCTGTGGGGAATGAAACCAGGTGGAGACACTGGCATTGTCATGGGGGTGTGGGGTGCTGGGTAGGAAGCGCCTATCTGCACTGGACTGTGTGGAGGCACCTGGTGAGGGTTCATCTGTTGATTGTTGTAGGGGGAAGACATTCCCGGCTGGTAGTGAGTCATTCCGGAGGACACGCCCATCTGCACTGAACCATGTTGTGTGGATTGGGCTGGTGAGACTACTGTGTTGGCAGATTGGTAGGAAAAGCCTGTTTGGATGGTGCTTATCTGCTGGCGTGGATCAACAGCTACTGAAGGCCTTTCTGCCTGAAAACAAATCTGCATGTATTAGCAGTCTGACAGCCTGCAAAGTTTGAACTTTAAATGCAAACATTGACAAGGTAAACATACCCATTACAAAAAGATTACAGCCAGACAGTAGCATTACCTTTTTCTTAAATGATTTGCAAACACAAATGGTAATTCCACATAGTGTGAAAATCACACCGAAGGCAATCAAGAAGTAGATCCACCATGGCAGAAGAGAGCAGTCATCCCATTCATCAGACTCGTCTCCACAGTTGTCACGTGTGTTACACACCAGGTCCTCACTGATACAGCGGTCATTCTCGCAGAGGAAATAGCCATCATCACAGTTGGAATTGAAAAACGCAAACTGGTTTGCTGTAACAAGCGATGAACTGTGTCACTTAGGTGCATGCAATCCAAACACATGGAAAAATGCAAAGCAACATCCAATATTTTTCATGGTATCGACATGTTCCCATTGACCATAGCAAAGAAATTCGTCCAAACCTCAAGTTAACTTACTATTTGGTTAGCTGACACTCAAGGAACACTTACATGGCAAATCTAAATCCAAAACAACAAATAAACTGCTGATTTAGTCAGAAGCAAACATGGGAACAAATTGACTCATTTTGTAGTGCTCATAATTGTGGTTGTATAACCTTAACAAGTGCAGTCATTTTCAAGATTCTGGCATACAATTCACATGAACTCACAGAAGTACCAACAACTGAGTACAATGTCAGTATCTTGTGTAACCTCCATATGCGGTGGGGTGGTGGGGTAGCTTTGTGGTTAAAGCGTTCACTCGTCACGCTGAAGACCCAGGCTCCATTTCCCACATGGGTACAATATGTGAAGCCCATTTCTGGATTCCCCCGCTGTATATTGCTGGTATATTGCTAAAAGCGGCGTAAAACTAGATTCACTCACTCAATAAGCTGCAATAACAACCTTGACCCCCCTCCTCAATCTTCGAGTAAGTAAAATGGAAGGCATTTATTGTATTAAATAGAAGTAAATGAGCCTGAAGATTATAATATAAACTCTTTACAACTGTGAATGTCAAATGATCCTTCATCTCATAAAAAACATGTTATTGCCTTGCATGTCCAATTGACATATACTGGACAAAAATAGTTAGGGATATATGTAAATTTTGAAATTATGAATAATTGTCTATTCATTGACACACTGATAAAATATCAATCATAAAAATACCAATATCCCTAACTTATTTTGTCCAGTATATTATTATTATAGAGGAATAGTACAATCACTATTCATTTGACGTTTATTATTATGGAAATGTCATTTCTATTGTTTTCAGTCATGACTTAATATTACCCTTGCTCACTTCTGAAGTCATTGAGTATAAACACTTTATAAACACTTGTGTGTTTCAGTGACCAAATGCAAACCTGCCTCACATGGTATCGCATGGTATCACTGCACATTGACTGCTGGATTAACTGTGTGACAATATATAATCAGGCACAGTGACAGATTGGCCTTGACTGATTGAATATTTACAGATTTGTTGGCAAAGGATATAAACCTGATTGTTTTTGTGTTTCACCATTTGATGTTAATAACTGATTAACTGATATGGTTTTCCCTACAATATATAGATCAGAACTTCCATGAAGAATCTGTGATGACATGGGGAGCAGTTCCAATGAGTCAACTTTTTGCAGATTTGCGAAACAATCCTATTTATTCACCGTGTCATGGAGTTCGGGTGGCTCAGTCGTTTTAGTGCAGTCTTATACTTTAACCACAAGTCATGCTTTTGCACTGGAATCCAAGATTGGCCTTGATTATGTTAAGTTTGTCAGCACCACACTGTGCACATGGGTTGTACTGAAGTGGTGATGGTGTAAGACATGCATCACCCTGGGCTTATCTCCAACATAAACCTTAACAGCTGGTGGTACTGACACAAAATAAGTTACAAACATGCTATAACTATAGATACCAATGATGAATCTTTGAACTTACCCTGTTTGAACATCGTGACTATAACAGACATTCCCCCAGAGAGACGGGTTGTTCCACTCCTGAACAGGAGGATGCCTTTGTTACTTGGGGTTGTGGATACGGGGGTGTGCAAGAGGTCATTTATGTACCTGTCAATACCTGAAAATCAAGACTGAAAATCTCAGTAAAATATAAGTTAAAACCAAATATAACACAGAAAATGGACTTGGAAGTACCTATATTTAATTGAATGATTTTTCTCTTAAATGTTGTCAAAAGCCCTTATGACTACAACTACTACTACTACTACTACTACTACTACTACTACTACTACTACTACTACTACTACTATATTTGTCCACATTATGTTCATATGTAAACTTTCCTAGACATCTGTCTTCATTAGCAAATATCCTGTTTACAATGTCTTAAAGAGTCTAATTATAATAAGGATGGAGGATACATGATTGTATAGATCAGTTTCAGCAAAAGACAAAAGTAGATCTAGTGGTTTCGACCCTGTTTTCCGCAAAACCCTTATTGATGGATAATCAGTGTTTGGAGCATATTACGAACACAAACATACATTAATTTAGGAAAGGTGGCTTAAAGTTTCTGAGCCTAAGTATGAAGAATGCATAGCTAACCCTTGACTGCTTGCAAGTATCAAGAACAATACTTTTCGTATATACATGCTGCATTTGAACCAGTTAGTTGAATTACACACCAAGCCACCATATTTCACACAATGTCAACTGGCTTGTCCACTGGAAAGCAGTCCATCCATATTTTAGGAGGTGATGTTACCTTTGCAGGTGTTAAGAGGTGGGCAATGGAGTCCAAGAGGGAGAGTGAGCATCAAAGATCTATAAAACCATGATATGATATGATTATCAATAGTCATCAACCAACCAGATGTGATGTCGTTTTCAAGCAAACTGTGGTAAAACCATTACTTAAGAAAGGCAATCTGGATATCAATACACTCAAGAATTATAGACCTGTCTCCAACTTTTCCTTCCTCTCCAAGATCCTTGAACAAGCAGTTGATGTCAGACTCAGATCCTACCTCTCTTCTAATGATTCCCTTAACATATATATTAATCAGCCTATCATCCTAGGCACAGCACTGAGACCACCTTACTTCAGATTCTGAATGTCCTGGGATGCCATGCAGATTCAGGTAATGTGTCACTTCTCCTCTTTCTCAATCTCCCACCGGCGTTCGACATGGTCTACCATCAGAAGCTCCTCAGCTGTCTTCAGGACGATTATAACATTCAAGGGAATGCATTGGCCTTGTTCCATTCCATCTGAGCACTGGCAGTCAATCAGTTCTTGTCTCTGAAACCATGTCTGAGTTAACGATCCTAGAGACTAGTTGAGTGTTGTGTACACGAGGGTTCAGTCCTTGGGCCACTTCTTTTTGTGTTATACACAAACTCCTTGGAGAAGGTCATTGGTAACTTTGATGTGAATCATCATGTGTTTGCAGACGACCTCCAATTGATGGATTCCTTCAAACCAGAGGATGTACAAAAAGCCAGATCAAGAGTGAGTCAGTGCACGAAGGCAATTAGTTCATGGTTGATGACAAATGAGCTGAAGCTCAATAAAGACAAGATCAACTCTATGGATATCACGGTAGTCAATTCCGATATCCCAGTTTCATCTAGTGTCAAGAACCTAGGCGTTTATCTTGATCCTTGTCTCACCATGGAGCAACATGTGAACCATCTCTGTATAGTAGGCTACTTCCATCTCCACTCTATTGGTAACATCCGCCATCGTGTTAACCACAGATGCAGCTAAAGTTCTCATTCAGTAACTTGTTCTCTCCAGGATTTACTATGGCAATAGCCTACTATACTGTTTGGAATCTCTAATGATCTTCTCTTCAGACTTCAAAAACTTCCAAATTCCACTTGAGTGTCACTAAAACATCCAAATGGTCTCACATAACCCAATCCTCCATAGCCTGCATCGGCTGCCGGTTGAAGACAGAATTCAGTTTAAGATGCTCACTCTTGTTTTCCGCTGCAGACATGGCCTAGCTCCTCCTCCATTCAAATTTGCAGCACCAACCCTGTGGAACAGTTTTCCTTCTCCCATAAAAAAAGCTTCATCCTTAAAAGCATTCAAATTGGGACTAAAAACCTACCTCTTCAAAAATTTCTACAACCTATAACTGCCAAATATTCTGATGGTCAATTTGAAGAACTGTCATATTTTCCTCATCAACTCTAGTGACTCTTTTATATGTAGCGCTTTGAGCATGCCCTGGGTGGACTATGGCGCACAAGAAATATCCATTTATTATTATTATGTTTTACAGATTAAAGACAAAAAGGCAGCAGAGAGGGTTCAGGTGATCCTGGCACAGTCAGGCTGGTAAGGCTCATCATCAGCTCAGGGCCCTCGCCCCCTCTACATGCAGCCCAGACAGTGAATGGGACTTCTCCCAGGGAACACTGCCTAGTCAAACCCACCAAGAACTTTCCGGAGAATATGAAGGCTCCCCAACACTGCAGCATTCTGCATTACCCAGATTGTCAGAAGGGCTGTGCTCCTGGTGGAGAACCCGGGCACTCTCCTGATCTGCGCCAAGAGTTCAGGAGGTACCAAACCAAGGGCACTGAGAACAATGGGGAGCCTGACGACTGTGTACTTGGGATGCAAGCGAGACATTTAATATATATCATGCTTTTCCTGAATCTTGCCAATCACGTTGCTGTCAAAGGGGACAGAAAATTCAATGATATAAATAAACTCATTGGCTTTATCAAAAAGGACAAGATCAGGTTTGTTGGCAGGAATTTTTCTGAGGCTGTATATAGGCCTATTCCAGAGAAGTTTAAAGCTGTCGTTTTCCATGATACCCTGGACATGTTCAGGGTCGTACCATGGATGGACCTCGGAGTCAAAGCCACAGACATGGTGGAGACGGTAGTAAAAGCAACGAGCCATGCCATCATGTCGTTTAAGATATGCTGTTTGTGCCAAGGAAGGGCATCCATCGACAAGGTGTTGGACAGTCTCTGTAAATTCATTACATAGTCAACATTTCATATTGATATTTTCTTTAAGAATCAAATTTTGGCGATTACGAGTGGGAAGTGACTGGTCCTGAGCAGCAAACAGGAAGCCCTCAGTTTCACATTTAAAACCAGCCGACTTCATCCAGGCGAAGGAGTTGGTGGGATTGCTATTCTGTTCCACACACTGCATGTATACACGATGCAATGGCTTCTCAGAAAGCTTCTACACAAAAGACCGACTCTGGGCAGACTTGGTAAAGGACTTCACCTGGTTTACTCCCATCACTGTACTGTCAAGCAGTACAACGCCATCAGCAAAATCAACCTCAAATTTCAGATTTTGTCCAACAACCTTGGCATACTTAAAATAGCCGTGGAATTCCTTGCTTTCATCATGAGTCTTGACATGCATCACCAGAGGATCATCCGATAAATAAATATGTGCAAAAGTACACAGTAAAATTCTATCATGAAGAGCCTCCACATTAATCAAACCCCAGCCTCCAGAATTGATTGGCATGTATACACGGTTAACAGAGGAACGAGGGTGGTGGGCTCTGTTATCAGACATGATCCTTCTGGTCAGGCGGTCAAGACTCTGGCTGTCTTGTTTTAGTCCAATCAACTACTCCAAAGGAATAGGAAAGGACTGGCACAGCAAAAGTATTGGTGGCTTTGACCTTGTTTCGAGCATTTAGCTCTGAGCTCCAGATTTTCTTTAAGCGAGATTTATACTTGGCCCAAAGTTTTTCTTGAATCTGGGCATTTTGGAGCTTGTCTCGAACTTGCATTCCAGGATAGGTGTAGGCCTGATCTTCCACAAGATGCTCAATAACTCCTCCCACCTGTAACTTGACCGATCCATCATTAGTTACCTTGCCATGTTTCAAATGAAGAGCATTACATTTGTCGAGTCCAAATGTCAGGCCAATATCATTAGAAAAGGACTCGACAAGGGGAACCTGCTCTTTCAAATTGGTATCTCCTTTGGCAAGGAGCTCGATGTCATCCATGTAAAGGAGATGAGTAAGCGGTGTTGAGGATCTGTGCTGAGGAGGTCCGGGATGGTTACCCTCCTCTCTGTTGGGAGGTCAATACAACGAAGAGACTTCAGAATCCATTCGTGAGGGACAGAGTCGTATGCTTTTTTGTAGTCAATCCAGCACATGGAGAGGTTGCAGTGATATGTTTTAGCCTCTTCTTTGCAGAACCATGGAGGAACATCACCTGTGTCCACAAGAGAATTGAAACAGTGAAGTAATAGTTTGGACACAGGGGAACAGTTTCCAGTACCGGTTTCGAATGCCATCAGGCCCTGGAGCTGTATTAGATTTTGACTTTTTGATGACACTTTTCAGACAATCTGGTGAGATGTAGCAGACAAACGACCTAGTTACTTTCTCATGCATTGCATGGTGATAATCACTGACCCATGGTGCCTCCAGGTTACAGTCGCCGGGTACAGACCACAACTGTTTCCAGACCCTCAAAATATATCACGGACGGGGGACACCAGAAATGGGCTTCACACAGATCATGAAACTAAAAATTATACTTGAATCTAACATTCCGCCCTTAAATGTAGGACATTTAACGAAAACTAAATTATGCTAAGTCTTGAACACTTGAAATATGTTACTTCACACCCGTCACATTTAGGGTCTATAGAGTTATAGTTCTTGATATTCACAGTCCTTTAACAGTCCATTCACAGTCTGTCTTCACAGGCAGATTCCAACAAACACAGTTTGTAGATTGGCCTGATCAACACGGAATCCTTGGTCTTGACCTCCACAGTTCTCACTAAGCCGTCCCTCCTGGGTACACCTGAGTGACTCTGCCAGAGGCCACACATATCTAGGGACATTTTCATTCATGATCAGAACGGCGTCTCCGACTTTCAAGTTCACTGTTGATTGGAACCACTTTTGGCGGAGTTGCAGAGTAGGCAGATATTCTTTAAGCCATCTAGACCAGAACTGGTCTGAAAGTGACTGGATGTATCTCCAGCGCTTACAGTATCTGTCCTTCAGTGAAAATCTGCCTGGTGGTGCAGAATTTGCTGATCGCAGGAGTAAGATATGGTTAGGAGTCAGAGGTTCACTGTCTTTGTGATTGTCA